AGCTGCTCCCTTAAGCAGGCCATTCGCTCGGACCTTATTCACTTATGGTCAGATAACCAAAGAAATATACAGATAACTGAAGCATTCCAACAGGTTCACATCATGCTCTGATTCCCAACATCGGCTCACTCACTACAGAAAGGCCATCTTACTGTACAAGAGATAACTGGTAACAGCCGGACCGCAACTCCACCAGCAGATCATTGTGAGGAAGTTCTATTGCCACACTAAGCATCACAACCATGTGAGATGCAAAAAGTAAGCTAAGCGAACCACAACCACACCACCGCTGTCTTGTTATGTGCTGCCTCAAGCTTCCAAATGCTGTAGCTCAAAGATCTCCCACAAATTTCGCAAGAGACTCGATTGCGCCAGCAACAAGCTCCAGGTAGATTGCACACTGTTGAAAGAACCCAAAGGGATTAGTTGGATGGGGGGAGAAACGGTTTGCACTTGCTTCCTATGACAGAGCCACACTGTCTGCTTTTGAAAATCCATTCCTCCCAAGTCATGCCTTCAACATTGTTGCACCCACACTTTGAGAAGCATTTTATCATGCCCAAGAAGAGGAAAACCACAGCAATGCTTAACAAGTCAGAAATATTTCTTACCTGCCCAAGAATGCCAGTCTGAGTGAAGCCCTCTCCCACCAAGGCAGCAAAGATGCCAATGACAGCCCATGCACCATTGATAGCCTCAATCTCCCGCCATTTCTGCAAGAAGGGAATAGCGAAAAGGTGAAGTAAGACAAGTACAGTTCGACATGAGAACAGGGCCGGTCTGTGTCACCCCGGCCCACACCATCTCACACCATGATCGCGGATGACAAGACAGGCCGGGTCACTATGACCAAGGCAAGTCTCATTCCGTCTTGAATCAGTAACAGTTACAGACGCACGTGACCTGAGTCGACCGCGCCAAATCTAAGTCGACACCTTTCTAAACATAACAACTTGTTCTGGAGTTCCAAGTTCTCAACCCTAGTTCTGAACTTCTTACATTTTCGTCCCAGCTCCTCCATACCCTTTCTCCAGAAAGATTGCATGCTAAGAGAGAGACTGCCTCCGGCCAGGCTGGACCCAGCCCATGTTCATGCCTAAAACGAGTAATTTGTCACCAGACAAAAGTTCCATCTCGCAAAAACATGTCAAGGCTCCAATTTTGGCTATGATGGGCAAAAAAATGGTTTGAGTCAAACCGAATTTGCTTATCGCGCCGACAAAATATAATGACTTTTTAGACGCCACGTTGGCAAGCACAGAATCATCTCGCCCTAGAAGCTCCGCACCACATATATGTACAACGGCTTTTGTTTACACAAGCGCTTGCCTGTTGTGATGCGACCTTGGCACGTTTCTTGAGGTCCTCTTGCGCTAGCCGCTTCGCCTCGACCGGATCCACCAGCAACACCTGCTTCGCCCCGCGAGGTGCTCCTTCCAGTCGCGCTGATCCCCTCGCAAGGCGCATTTCCTCAGCTGCGGCAGCGCCATTATCCGCTGCGCTGACGGCGCGAACAATCGGTCGCTGACAGGGCCACAGCAAAGTCATTGGCAGAAGGGAAACGCTTATTGGCGAATTAGGGAACCTTTAGGCAATCGACTGAGGAGCAGACTTTGTTAATGAAAGAAAACATGCTCGGAAAATATCATTACGGACAAGGTCTCTTCCCTAATTGGAGCGATAAGAATAAGCTGATATACTTACTCTATGCGCTAGCCGCGCTGGCCGACGGATTAGACAACTGCTCTCATGATGTGTTCTCAAGTTCGACGATTCATCCAATCGTTCACTCAACGGGCTCCCCAACAGCGCCGGTCTGCAGCTTGACATAGCGAAACATGAATTAGCCATGGCGGCTAAATGCAGGAGGTACACGGCTTATTGCTGCAGACGCGGCTACTGAGGCAGTCGATCACTCTGACTAAGATAGAATTTGTGAAGCCATTGTCAGTCAGTCACACACACACACCACACCACATATGCTTGATTGCTTGTATCTTTCATGTAGACTTGGTCCACATGCCGAAGCTTGGGAGTGATGATGGTTCCTAGGAGTGTGGGGGCGTGGACGAAGCTGATTGGGCAAAATGAACAAGGGCTACCCCGCTATGAGAAGGGGGTACGTCTCGGTGCAGATGTTTTTCTGCACGATCTGCTCGGTTCTGCAGGGTAGTGCAATCATGACGAAGGTGCTCAGTCCCAAAAACAACCTCAGGCTGTTACGGAGGGGTAACCATGCCTGGCCCTTGCGACGAGAATCAGCGAAACCAGTTACGAACTTTTCTGGGATATTGATTCCGTCTGTGGGGCTGCAGTGACGTATGCACAGCCGCTCGATAATTTCACGGACAATTGCTCCCGCCATGCAGGTTTTGCCAGTGATAGTGTACGATTGTATGCAATTGACGGTTTCGGAGGAAAGATGTCGGCCCGCCGCGTGTTTAGGGTTGAGGCTCCCTAGTCACATGCCTCCATCTGGGGTTTATTTTTTGCTGACTGCGGGCAGATAACGTTCCGTCAGATTTCTTCCAGGGGATTAACGCCGCATACATTCGCAAACCGCCCTGGCATACCTTGCATGTCTATGATGTTGGCCCATAATTTCAAGATACATCCAACGGTTTGAGTCCTTCTGGGGCTTCCTGATTGGTTGTGGCGCTGTTGAGTCGGTTGTTGAGCATGGTGCAATGCGGCAAAAGTCATCCAATCCATTTTACATTTGATTATTTGCTTCTCCGCTCGTTAGAGTGACAATTTTAATCCTTGAATATGTCCTCCTTTGTTCAGGCTCTTGATACTGTCGCCAAGGGCGTGACGCTGACGCTGATTATGGAACAAACCACAGCAGTCCCTTCAGAAGTCCCAAAGGTGACTTTTGAGATACATTTAGGATACCATAATGTGACTTATGTCTCTCAACGAACCCCCGCCAGAACATGAAGTACGCGTAACTCTGACGCTTCAGCCGAAAGAGTGAAGGCGGCTATTTTCTTACCATGGACGAGATCGGTCGGCCCGTGCATTCGTTTTCACTGGTAGTTGATCGAAGAAGTGGCGACTTGTCTCTTGTCGAGGGAGGCCGGACCGTTGGTGCTGGTCGGCAGGGTCCACGGGAGTATGGTTGTGTAACGTCGGAAAGCTATGCAGGATCTCTTCTTTCCGCGCTAAACACTCTCGACGACGCGGCTGAGGAAAGCAGCGAGCTTCGCGATTTTCTGCAGCGTACGTTTCAATTCGCTTGCAATATTTTTTTCGTAAGCATGATCAGCACCTCGTTAATTCATTCGGTGGACGAATCCGTTCTCCAGAGGCTAGCATATCACGCATTCCCCAGCTCGCATGAATCCGTTCTCTCCGTTCTCCCGATGCTATAGATCCACGCATTACTGACCTTCTCAGCAGGAGTGTGTGCATGCTTTGAGACGTCTTAATATCCCCACCCATTGATAATATTTTCATCACCAGGAACGCGTGCTTCCCTCCATTCTGCTGCGGGAGCATGTCAAAGGCAAGGTCATGAACCCCACAAACCACTTGTGGAGAGAGAAGCAGCAGCGGAAAATGCTGGCGTATCGCCAGCAGTCATCAGTCAGCAGAATTATTTGCGTCATACCGTCGCTGATGAGCCACAAATGAAAAGCGCAAGTCTTCTGGTTCAGGCGGACTCAGATGCTGCAGGCACAGGCCGCATCTCACCACCATGCCCTATGGCTAGTCCTGCCTTGGCAGTATCCGGCGTTGTGTGTTCAACTGCAACCGCTTCAGTTGCAGAAGGATCAGAGGCAGCATTGAAGCCTCAGGAAAATCCCCCACCAGCACGTTCAGAACGTGGGCCTGACCTCTCTCCAGCGTGCTCGCAGCGAGGAGGACCTGAAGTAGCAGAACTTTTCAAGACAGCACTGGAACCTTCTGAGCCAACACACCTGTCCGAGGAAGCACAACCGCCATATAGGTCGGAGAACACCGCAGCTGCTGCTGGCGCTTCAGCTGCTGCTGGCGCTACAGCTTCTGGCGCAATTGCTGTTGCTGGCATTGCAGATCCACGGCCTTCCTGTCTGTGGCTTGACAGCAGCCAGAGGACTTCAGCTGTAGACACACAAAATGGAACCCATTGCCCTCGAGGCATTTTATCTCGAAATGGTGATTCGATTATGCCCAAAGCGAAGAGTAGTGGCAGCACAAGGGCAGGAAGTTCGGAAATTTTGGATGAACTCCTTCAATCCACTCAACCTCAAAATGTGAGTCAAGACTCTTGGCCTCATTTTTCGGCCTGTCCATTCCATACCATGGTGATTCATTCGTGCGCCATCACGGATCTTGCCAGTTCGAAACTCTACCCTTCCTTTTTCTTGACTCCTTGCCTCTTGTGCTTTGTATCCCAAACTCCTTTCCTTGATATTCCAGAAACACCACAGGGCTTCCACCACGCGCCTCTTCATGGCGCCAAAGTTCAAGAAGCCACGCGCTGCAAGAGGCCTCACTGGTGTCGGCCAAGCCACACTTCCTTCACTTGGCCTTGCTAATCTGGTAACCTGAATCAGTATGCAGAGCATTTTCACGGTTGCCAGAATTCTGCAACTTTCAGGTGTTGGGGCGTATCTCATGTGCTTTTTTTTTTCAGTAAGGACCATCCAGGCGTTGAGTTGACATGTTTTTCTGTCTTTGTTTGTTTATTGTTTTATTCTGGATGTATTCAGGTTGAGAAGGGCCATAAAGTGAATCGGCTTCTTCACAAGACCATGAGCAACGCGTCCAAGAAGCCATCAACAAGAGAGCGCTGCCTGCAGCCGTCCCTGCAAGTGCAAAGAAGTCGAGACTTGGGCCCTCCCCTTCATTCAGAGCCTCAGCTGCACCCACAAGTGCGAGCAGGTTTAAGAGCATCTGAAGCGCTGGTTGAGGGAGGAGAGAACGCTGGTGATCATATTGGTGTGGTGGCAAACCGAGGACTGAAGCGCAAGGCTGGAGCTGATGGTTCTGGTGGTATACCACCGCTGCATGCCATGGCTCCTGGATCGAAACGCAAGCCCCTTGCTGTGATTGACAACATACAGTCCGCTGCACAAGGCGATGCAGTGCCAGGAAAGTTTCTCCTCCGGAGTGCGTCTAGCAGGAAGGTGAACGAGTCAGCTGTTGCGGTTGCAGGCGTGATGAAGCTGTTTGAGGAGGATGGAGAAGAATGGCAGCAGCAGGGAGAGCAGGGGATGAAAGGGCCGCAAGGACAGCAAGAGCAGCAGGGAATGGATGGGCAGCAGGGGATTCAAGGGCAACAGGATATGCTAGGAGCAGGAGAGAAGCAGGGGAGTCGAGGATGCATGGCTATAGTGCCAGTGACAGATGAGCCAACGGCTGTAGCTCTCACCACCGCATTGAACCCATCTTCCTTGTCACTGCCACCAGAACCTCCGCCACCACCACCACATACAGGTGCAGCTCTCATAACCACCGCGCAAAACCCATCTCCATTATCAATGCTACCACTACAACCACCACCACGACCTCCTGCTGGTTCAGCAAGCTTGTTCCAAACAGCCCGGGGAAAGCCGGTCCCTCTGTCTTCAGCTGCTGTGGACAAGGCGTGTGCCCTGCTGGGCGTGCAACAGCACGAGAGGCCACACTTTGATGATGGGGCTAATCTGGGGGCCGGTAGTACAGAAGGATCGACTGTTGGGGCGGGCCTGTTTCAAACAGCTTCAAACAAGCCGGTGCGTTTGTCTTCAGCTGCTGTGGACAAGGCGTGTGCTCTGCTGGGCGTGCAGCAGCATGAGAGACCACGGTTTGACGCCCCTCGCATCACACCGCCCATACACAAGCCTGCAGCTCTGTTGAACGCTCAAGGGCACGCAGGGTCTCAATTCAACGTGCCTCGAATCATGCCGCTTACACATGGGTCCTCAGCACTCCCGGTCGCTCAAGGGCATGAGAGGCAGAGCTCTCATGCGCCTGCAGCAATGGAGCTTGCAGTGCGGAACTCAGCAGCAGAGCTGACAGTAGTGGCACAACCAGATGCCGGAGCTGGTTTGGGGAGAGCTAATCGGGGGGAAGCGACTGTAGGGGCGGGTCTGTTCCAAACCGCCCGGGGCAAGCCGGTTTCTGTGTCTTCAGCTGCTGTGGACAAGGCGTGTGCTCTGCTGGGCGTGCAGCAGTACAAGGGACCACAGTTTGTCGCACCTCATATCACACCGCCTACACACAAGCCTGCAGCACTCCCGGATGCTCAAGGGCATGAGCCGCAGAGCTGTAATGTGCCTGCATCAATGGAGCTTGCAGTGCGGAACTCAGCAGCAGAGCTGGCAGTAATGGCGCAACCAGACGGTGAAGCTGGTTTGAGGGGAGCTATACAGGGGGGAGCGACTGTAGGGGCGGGTCTGTTCCAAACCGCCCGGGGCAAGCCGGTTTCTGTGTCTTCAGCTGCTGTGGACAAGGCGTGTGCTCTGCTGGGCGTGCAGCAGTACAAGGGACCACAGTTTGTCGCACCTCATATCACACCGCCTACACACAAGCCTGCAGCACTCCCGGACGCTCAAGGGCATGAGCCGCAGAGCTGTAATGTGCCTGCATCAATGGAGCTTGCAGTGCGGAACTCAGCAGCAGAGCTGGCAGTAATGGCGCAACCAGACGGTGAAGCTGGTTTGAGGGGAGCTATACAGGGGGGAGCGACTGTAGGGGCGGGTTTGTTTCAAACGGCCCGGGGCAAGCCGGTTTCTGTGTCTTCAGCTGCTGTGGACAAGGCGTGTGCTCTGCTGGGCGTGCAGCAGTACAAGGGACCACAGTTTGTCGCACCTCATATCACACCGCCTACACACAAGCCTGCAGCACTCCCGGACGCTCAAGGGCATGAGAGACAGAGCTCTCATGTGCCTTCACCAATGGAGCTTGCAGTGCGGAACTCAGAAGCAGAACTGGCAGTAATGGCGCAGCCAGATGGCGGAGCTAGATTGGGAGGGGCTAGTCGAGGGGGAGCGACTGTAAAGGCAGGTTTGTTCCAAACAGCTCGGGGCGAGCCGGTTTCTGTGTCTTCAGCTGCTGTGGACAAGGCGTGTGCGCTACTGGGCGTGCAGCAGGGGCCGCCAGCACTGCTGGACGCTCAAGGGCATGAGAGGCAGAGCTCTCATGTGCCAGAAGGAATGGAACTTTCAGTGCGGAACCCAGGGGCAGAACCGGCAGTAGTGGCGCAGCCAGATGGTGGAGCTGGAGTGGGAGGGGCTAGTCCGGGGGGGGCAACTGTGCGAGCGGGTTTATTTCAAACTGGCCGAGGCAAGCCGGTTTCTTTATCTTCAGCTGCCGTGGACAAGGCGTGTGCTCTGCTGGGCGTGCAGCAGTATAAGGGTCCTCCACAGTTAGAATCACCCAGGATCAGTGAAGAACCAGCAGTGCTTCGGCTGAAGGGCGCAGGAGCAGAGCAGACGAGTGCGGCGCAGGCAGATGGTGGAGCTGGTACAGGCGCAGCGACTATAGGGGCGGGTATGTTCCAAACTGCCCGGGGCAAGCCGGTGCATGTATCTTCAGCTGCTGTGGACAAGGCATGTGCTCTGCTGGGCGTGCAGCACTACAAGGGTCCTCCACAGTTAGAAGAACCCAGGGTCAGTGACGAACCAGCAGTGCTTCGGCTGGAGGGTGCAGGCGCAGAGCAGACGAGAGCGGCGCAGCCAGATAGTGGAGTCAGTCGGGGGGGAGCAACTGTACGGACAACTATGTTTCGAACCGCTTCAGAGAAGCCGGTTTCATTATCTTCAGCTGCTGTGGACAAGGCGTGTGCTCTGCTGGACGTGCAGCAGCATCAGAGGCCGCGGTTTGAAGGTAGTGCCAGTCTGGGAGGAGCGACTGTCCGAACAGCGGGTCTGTTTCAAACCGCTTCAAGGAAGCCGGTGCACATATCTTCAGCTGCTGTGGACAAGGCGTGTGCTCTTTTTGGAGTGCAGCAGCGTGAAAGGCCGCAGGTTGAAGGTAGTGCCAGTGTGGGAGGAGTGACTGTAAGAACAGCGGGTCTGTTCCAAACCGCTTCAAAGAAGCCTGTCGTTTTGTCTTCAGCTGCAGTGGACAAGGCATGTGCTTTTCTGGGCTTGCAGCAGCATGAGAGGCCACGGTTTGAAGCTCCCAGGTTCACACCTTCTGGAATCACCGCACTACACCGTCCCCAACCTGGTGCGATCCAACCACCTCCACATGCTCCCCTCGCCCTGCCTGCTCCTTCTGCCCCGCCTGCTCCTCTCGCGCTACCTGCTCCCGATGCAGTTGAAGAACCTGCTCATCGTCCCCCTTCCCCTCCTTCATGGCCCCTCGCCCTCACCCAAACCTCATCACAAGGTGCGGCCGAGCCTGCGGTGGAGGCTCGGGCAGCTCTTGCCAGGGCAGAGGAAATGGTTGCGAGCCTGTTTGACCTGGGGACAGGGGGGAGTGGAGGTGGAGATGGGAGGAATGGGGAGGGGAGTAAAAGCGATGGTAGTGGGAGTGGGAGGGATGGTGGTGGTAGTGGAAGGGGTGGTGGTGGGAGTGGCGAGGGCGGTGGAACGGGGGAGGGAGGTGGAGGTATGACGTGGCAGAGAGGTTGCAATGGGGGCAATGTTGGAAGTCGGACAGTGGATAGGGTCACCGTCTATCAGCCACAACCACAGCCCCACAAGCAATGGGAGGACAACACCACTAGGCACATGCTGATGCCTCTGTCAGGCCATCCTTCTACTCCATTCAATCCACACACGCCCTCAACCAACCCTGCCTCCTCTCTCCCCTTCTCCACACCCCCTTCCTCTGCATACGCATCACCCCCTCCTCCGCTCCTCCACTCCAACAAATTCAGCACACCAGGAACCCTTTCGATACAGTCACAGTATGCATCGCAAACGCCAGGCTCTCTTCCACCACTCTCCGTAGCTTCTTTGTCCGGTTCACCGTTGCACCGACAACCCACACAACCCACCGAACCCACACAACCCACACAACCCATCCAGCCCATCCCGCCCATGCATCCCAGACAGCGGTTCCAGCCCATACAGCATGCTCACTCTTCCGTAAACTCTTCAAAGCACCGTCCCACCACACAAAACCCCACACATGCACTCTTTCAGTCACCTGCAGCTTCCCCACACACTCCCTCACTCGCCCAACCACCTCCCCTCCGTTCATCCCCTCCCCTTCTCTCCACCACTCCCCTCCACCCCTGTCCTCCTCTCCACCACTCCTCTCCGTTGCACCGATCACGCAACCCTTCGTACCCCTCCAACTCTCCTCTCCACCCTTCTCATAATCCCCTCCACTCCTCTCCCAATCGACTCCACAACGCTCCCCTCGACACCTCTCCCACCCCTCTTCACCGCGTTGGCACCCCTCTCCGCCGCCCCTTAACTCCTCTAAACCGTTCTCCGTCCACCTCGCCATCCCCACGGCGGCCGTTCATCCCGCCCACCTCCACCATTCCAACCCTATTCTCCAAGCACCGCCCACCTCGCTCCCGCTCCGCTGGCCTTCCCCCCATCCCCATGCGCTCACTCACTGATGCCACTGATGCACCAACTCTTGGTGTCAGCCAGAGAGCAGCAGAGGGACGTATGGCTGCTGACAATGGTGCAGTATTGATGTCAAGGAGTGGGTTGAGGACTGATTCTGCAGGTGCAGCAAGTTCAGGAGCAGGCGCGGGAGAAAGCGCGGGTGCAGCAGTGATGGTTAGACAGGGGGAAGGGGGAGTGAGGCGACTGCATGATCTATACAGGGATGCGGAGGGGAAGCCTAGGAGGCGACCCTGCATGGCTGAGTTCTTTGGGTACCCGCCTGGGCTCGAACGAGTGGTGAGTGTTGAGCTGACTCATTAGCCGAGAAGAAGGCAGCCCTGTTGGCTTCGTTCTTTAGGTACCCGCCTGGGCTCGAACGAGTGGTGAGAGCTTGTAACGTTTCTGCAATGGTGTGACGTGATGTGTGCTGTGTTGTTGAACTCGTGAAGAGCTTGCTGTGTTTGCGAACATGCGGAATGTGTTTGTTTCTGAGTGTTTACAGAGTTCAGTACCCCTCTCAGAGGCATTGCTGGTGGTGGATAGTGTTGATTGTCAGCCCTGCAGCGCAGCCTGCTGGGCGTGTACTGTATTTCTGTTTTGGCACTTGCACTTTTTGCTGTACTTCTTTTCTCATCCTTCTCTTTCACTTGCTGTCCTGTGGTTGACAGGAGGGAAAGGTGTCAGAAGCAGTTCGCAAAATGACAGCACAGTCCGCCCTCACATTTGTCTTCACAATCCCGTCTGCTGTTCAGTCCGCGCAACAGCAAGCACAGCCACTATTGCCAACTACCCTATCACTGCCCACCCTGATAGCACTACCAGCAACAGTAGCAGAATCACCAACAGCAGAACCAGCAGCAGCAGCAGCAGCACTGCCACCAGCCACACAGCCATCACTCTCACCACCATCACCACCGTTACCCCAGCCACCACCATTACTACCTTCTTCACCTCAACCATCACCACCAGCAGCTGGAAGAGATAGGCGAGCGGGCACAGAAGCGAATGGTGCAGCTGACACTGTACAGGTGGCCGGTGCAACAAACGTTTCAGATGCAGTAGGTTTAGTAGATCCAGCAGATAGGGGGGCTAATATGGCAGCTGCAGCAGGTGATGAAGGAGGCGCAGCATATGCAGCAGGCGATGCCAGTGCAGCAGACCATGCCAGTGCAGCAGGCGATGCCAGTGCAGCAGACGATGCCAGTGCAGCAAACGATGCCAGTGCAGCAGACGCTGCAGCAGGTGCAGTAGATTTAGCAGGTGGGGCCGATGTTGTAGTCGTTAGAGGTATAGACCATGCCGGAGGGGTAGAAGAGTTAGCAAATGGCGGTGGTGTAGGAGCTGTGGATGGTATAGCAGATGCAGCAGGTGCAGCAGCTGTGGCATCAGTAGCACTCTCGTTAGTAGAAAGCAGTGGCTGCCCTGCAATAGGTGCTACCAGTGCTGCACTCCCTGCACTCCCTGCAAGCCCTGCAAGCCCTGCACTCCCTGCACTCCCAGCAAGCCCTGCAAGCCCTGCACTCCCTGCCCTCCCTGCAATCCCTGCAAGCCCTGCACTCCCTGAAATCTCTGCAATAGGGTTGTGCACTGGCGAAAGACAAGAGCATGCAGCAGCCACGACCACGGAGGATGAGTGCGTCATCCGAAACGATCTTATAGCAGCAGCATCAGCATCACCAGCAGAGGCAGCAGCGGAGGGATCTGCAGCAAAGGAAGGAGGAAGATGGGCATCTGCACGAAAAGGGGAAGGCCAGGCTACTCTGACAGTTCTTGGTGCTCGAGATGGTGGGGAGAGGGCGAATGTTGGGGCTAAGGAGTTTAGGGACATGCTGATTGCAGCAGGCGCCCGGCGCAAGTTTGCCACACAAGAGTAAGACACCAACCTCCCTCTTCACTCTTTTGGTTCCTGACCCTTTTGATTTGATTCGGCCTCTCTCGTTTGCGTGTTCGGCTCTTTCATCTAGGCGCGCCGGCCTCAATGAGAGAGCCGAACGAGCAAGAAGTCGTTGCTTTGTTACACTGGCTGGCACACCATTTTTTTTCAGCCAGGATTTGAGGCGCCTGTAACGAAGGTCACACTTGTGGCACTGGCACGGCACCCGACATTGTTTCAGTTCAACCCATCATCTCCGTTTCCCCTCTTCTCTTCTTCCTCTTCCAACCACCCCTCCAACACAGGTGGGTGACGAACCACTACCACTGGGTGGTGTTGAAGCTGGCCTGTCAGGAGCGCAGCTTGCGTGTCCAACATAAAACCTCCTTCCTGCCCCTCTCCCTTTTAACCCCTCCCTTCTCCCTCAACCGCCCTTCACAGGTGGGTGTCGAACGACTACCGCTGGCTGGTGTGGAAGCTGGCCTGTCAGGAGCACAGGCAGCTCGTGAAACCCCCCCCCCCCCCCTCCTCCCATGCATTTCCCGCATCCCACCATCCCCAACACCCCCATCACAGGTGGGTGTCAAACCACTATCGCTGGGTGGTGTGGAAACTCGCTTGTCAGGAGCGCAGCTTCCCCCGTCGCCTTGCAGGAAGGATGCTGACTGTGGAGAGAGTGCTGGAGCAGCTCAAGTACAGGTGGGTGTTAAGAAAAGGATAAAGAGCAGCTCATTCGACCTTTGAGTCTCGACTTCTGAGTTTCGACTTTTGAGGTGCCTCGAAAGTCGTCTCAGTTTAACTCTGCTCACTGCTCCGTGGTCAGTACAAAGACCACATGGCTGAGCCGCTGTTGAATGACCCGGCTGGTTCTGCCGTAACCTTTGCATTTTGAGTCCTTGCTATTTTCTGCCATCTTCCATCATGTGTCCTGCCTCCATGCCCATGCAGGTACGAGAGGGAGGTGAATGAAGGCAAGCGGTCGGCTCTGAAGAAGGTGTGCGAGCGGGACGCTGCTGCTGGCAGCCCCATGGTACTCTGTATCTCTGCTGTGCACTCCCAGGGAGGAGCACGTGGAAGAGGGGTTGGGGAGGAGGAGGAGGATGGGGAAGAGGGGGAGAAGAGGCAGGAGGCGGGGCGGCAGAGAGGGGCGGTGGGTTTGGGGCTGCAGACGGCGATGATTGAAGTGACTGATGGATGGTGAGGAGGAGAGAAGTTTATGGGTTAATGGGACATTCGCATGCCATTATAGTGCAAACACATACATCATGTCTGCATGCCGTTCTACTGCGGCAGATGGTGTCACATCGTTGCTCTTCGTGCATCTCTTGCAACAGCCATGTGCCCCATGCAAGCAGCCTTAGCAACCCCACCCAACGCCATCAAACCCCCCCCCCCCCCCCCCCCCCCCCCCCCTCCCCCCCCCTCCCCCCTCCTCTCCGACACCCTTTTTGTGGCACCTCAAAGCCAGCAACCTTAGAAGTCCGTATTTTGTTGGCACCCGTGCGCATCAAATCTTACCTTACCCTCAACACCTTACAGAACTAACGACCTCCCTCTCACGCACCCGCCCCACTCTCCCCATGCGTCCCTCTTTGTCCAGGTACTGGCTGCCTGCTCGCCTCATTTTTTTAGTCGACTCATAACCCCACTTTCCCCACATGCGTCCCTCTTCATCCAGGTACTGGCTGCCTGCTCGCCTCCATTCTCCCCTCACAGCTACACCCCAAAAGCTATACCCCTCCCCTCCCCTCCTCTCACACGCACCCTCCCACGCTTCCCGTCCCTTTTCAACCCCCCTCCCTTCCAGGTATTGGCTGCCTGCTCGCCTCGATGCTCCCCTCACAGACCTTCTGAATCGCGGTCGGCTCTTTGTTGGCCAGAAGATACGGGTGGGTGCACTCATTCGACTCAAAGTGTGATGAATATTGCACTGAGAGCAAGCTGCTTCTGAACCGTACTGAACCAGCCTGAATATGAAACCAAACCTCAATATGAATCCCAATATGAACCCCAGCCTGAACCGTACTGAACCAGCCTGAATTTGACTGTGAACCTGAAAATTTTACCTGCTTTCAAACCCCGTTCTGATCCTTATGTTGACCCGCATCCAAACCTTAATCTGCCTTCTCCCGGCTCTCTTCCTACATCACCTCAACCTCAACTCAACCCACCCATGCCAGGTGTGTGGGGCGGTGCTGAATGGCTGCATGGAAGGCCTCCCTCCCCTCGAGGTATTCCCCATTCCTTCACTCTCCATTTTTCAATCCTCTCCTCACTACTCCGCTTTCTTTGCCTGCATTTGTCTTCCCCGTATTGTATGGAGCCGTGTGCTGCGTTTGTTTCGGCATGATACTTGTGCATACCACGGCACGCACACTCGCCAGCTGCTGCTTGGTTCTTATTCACAGCCTCCCCTCACCGTTTGGGACCCCTCACCGTCTTTATTAACCCCAACCCCAAGACATCCTCCCCCCACTTTAGTTTTGAGGCGCCTCAAAACTGTTATTATTCACAGCCTCCCCTCACCGTTTGGGACCGTCGTCTTTATTAACCCCAACCCCAACCCCAACACATCCACTTTTGAGGCGCCTCAAAACTTTTGAGGCGCCTCAAAACTCACATCCTCCCCTCACCGTTTGGGACCGTCGTCTTTATTAACCCCAACCCCAACACATCCTCCCCCCACTTTTCTCTCGACCCTCTCTCTCCTTCTCACTCCCGTCGCGTCACCGCAGGCGTGCACAGCAGCAACGCTCGCCCTTCACTTCAACGGCACCTTCCCAGCTCACTGGTCCACCAAGCTGGGCTTCTGTACGTCGCCCACCCCCACAGAGTGTTTTTGAGAAATCTCATAAACAGGGTGTTTCTAAGAAGTCCCCAAAACACCCATGGTTCTAGAATTTTCAAGAACACCCTTTTTGAGAAATTTCTAAATCACCTATCCAGCTCACTGGTCCACCAAGGTGGGTTTATGTGCCCCACGCCCCCACGAAGGCCATCAAATAGCCATTAGTCGAAGGATTAAGTCCTGCCAAATCCACTTTCTCATCGAGTCAAGCCCTGCCCCTGCCCTTTGGCTTGACCTCCTGTTTCCTCTCCAACATGTTTCTTTCTTTTCCCGATCTATGCTGGCCAGAGATTTTCCACCCTTTCTGTCTCCCTGCTGCTCTCTATCTATTCCTCTTCGCTCCTCCCTCCCCCTCCTCATCTCCCCATGTGCTTCCCCTCATCCCTCTGCTCTTCTCCCTCTGCCCTCCCCCGCTACAGGCCGACAGAAGCCGCCTGTCCCAATGGCACTGCGCAGGGTGCGGGAGGACGGGGGAGCTATCCCCCTTACGTGTGTGGCCATTGCACGGGTCTATCCTACAATGTACTGGGAGAAGAACACCGCAAGGAAAGCTGATGCGGATGCTGCTGCTGCTGCTGCTGCTGTTGTGCCCGGTGGTACGATGCGCTCAGCTAGGGCTGAAGCAGTGGCAGCTCGTGACTTTGAGAAGAGGTGAGAGACTAAATGCTAAGATCTCTGTTTTGATTTTCCTCCTCGCCCTCCTCGTCGTTGTCGTTGTCGTCGTCGTCCTCCTCCTCCTCCTCTGTCCCTCAGCCGTTCTCCTCTTTCCCCTCCCCCCCCCCCGCTTCATCCCCCACCCACCGCTTGCCTCTTCTCCTCTGCCTGTACCCGTTCCGCTTACCAGGAGGGAGCAGGTGGCCGAGAAGGCGAGTCTGGAAGCCGAGAAGCAACTAATGGCTGAAGAAGCAGCAGAAGCAGCAGGCAGGGGGGGCAGAGCAGGAGGACGAGGAATAGGAGGAGGAGTTGGTGGAAGGGGAGAGAGTGGGGGGAGAGCAGGGGTGGGGAGGATGGGGATGGGGCGGGGGCGGGCCTCTGCAGGATTTTCTCTGGGGCGGGGAAGGGGAGGGCTGGCAAGGGCGGAGAGGGAGGGGGGTCGTTTGTTGTTGGAGTTTGATGCTAGTGGTGATCCGGAGTCGTTCTATGGTGGGCTGACTGCTGAGCAACGTGGTGCCATGGAAAGAGCTCAGCTGCAGAGAGTGGTGAGTGGAGAGGGAGGGGTGGTTATGTGTTGAAATTTGGGATGCGGGAGGGAGGTGGGTCGTCTGCTACTGGAGTGTGTTTCGCCCGTGTCCTCATGTTCTTGCTCTGTGCTTCCCCCATGCTCCCTCGTCCCCACAAGCACTGATGCTGTCACAGGAGAGGCGGAGGGCAGCAGTGCAGGAGGCAGTGGATGACGCATTGACAGCTGAAGTGACGTGTGTCCCTCTTTTGTCCCCATCTCCGTGCTCTCTGCCCCTCCTCCTCTCCTCCTCTCATCCTTGCCACCTGTCAGGAGAAGCGGAGGGCGGCAGTGCAGGAGGCGGTAGATGACGCATTGGCAGATGAAGGGTTGAAGGAACGGGACGTGTGCCCTGTGGTGAAAGTGCGAGTGGTGGGACTCACTGGGAAGCGATCCAGGGAGGAGAGGGAGGAGGGGACAGGAGATGACGAGGAGGGGGAGTGGAGCAAGAGGGTGCGGCAAGGGGAAGGGATGATCAGCATTTGGCGACCCAGTGACGAGCAGGTGAGGGCATGACATGGCATGGGGGAATGGCATAAGGGATGGCATGGCATGGTTTGGCTTGGCATGGGGCTCTGCATGGCATGGCATGGAATGGCATGAGGCATGGCATGGCATGGCATGGAATGGCATGAGGCATGGCATGGCATGGCAGAGCATGTTATGGCAGGGAAATGATGGCATGGCATGGTTTGTTATTGCGTGGCATGGCTTTGTATAGCATGGCATGCATTGACATGAGTTTGCTTGGCAGTGCTTCCTTCCTCCCTTCATTCCCCTCCCTCCCCTCCCTCCGTTCCCCGCACTCCCCTCCCCCTCCCCTCAGCTGCTGCAGGAGCTGGTGGAGGGCGGGGTGTACCTGGTGGAGGGCGGGGTGTACCTGGTGGTGGGCGGGGTGTACCTGGTGGAGGGCGGGGTGTACCTGGTGGAGGGCGGGGTGTACCTGGTGGAGGGCGGGGTGTACCTGGTGGAGGGCGGGGTGTACCTGGTGGAGGGCAGGGTGTACCTGGTGGTGGCCGGGGTGTACCTGGTGGCGGGCCTTCAGCCGTCTGTCACGTATCCTGACACGTCTCCTTGTTCCCTCTTCTCTCCTTGCTTCTTTCCTGCCTTCGCGCCCTCCCTTTCCCACCTCCACTTCCCCCACTCTCCTCCTCTCTCAGCTGCAAGAGCTGGTGGAAGGAGGCGTGTATCTGGTGGCGGGCCTTCAGCCGTCCGCCACGCGGCGTGATGCAATTGGTCCGCTGCTCTCCCTCAACGCCAGCCGGTCAACCAGGTGGCGCCGACTTGAACCATCGACTGTTCAGAGAAGCCTCAGGTCAGTTTTTTTCTGACTCCCGAGTCAGGTATTTCCTGTCTTCTCTCTACCGTCTACCAAGTGAAGGAAGTGGCTGCTGCTGTTGCTTCTGCTTCTGCTCCTTCTTCTGCTTCTCATACCATCCCGCTCTTCCTCTCCTTTTTCTCCCTGCATCTCCCCCACAATCCCACAGCTTCTCTTTCCCCCCTCGTCAGTGGACCCCCCTCGCCTCGTTGCCTGCCACTCCCCCGGGCAGGGAGGTGGACGTGGTGGCACTGGTGCTGGCCGTGGGGCAGCCGCGTGCCGTGGGGGCGTGGCAGACGGGGCAGTGGCTTCTGCTGCTTGATGGCTCGGGGGAGAGAGAGCATTGTGAGAATGGGGGAGATATGGAGGGAAGAGGTTTCTCAGGGAGAGGTTTGGGGGGAAGAGGTGTAGAGAGAAGGGGTGCAGGAACAGCTGAAAGAGAGTTGCCGTCAGCAGTGGGTGTAGCGTGCTTGACAGGAGCAAAAACACCATATGCACTGCCACCACCACCACCGCCACCAACCCCAGGAGCAGAAGCACCATCAGGGTCACCCTCCTCCTTAGCTATACGCCAGCCTATGCACCAGGCTGGGAGGAGGCCTGGACTGGTCGGGGGAGGGAGAATTGGCGCACGTGGGAGGGTCGGAGTGAGGGGTGGGATGAGCCTTTGGGGAAGAACGGGCAGAGGCAGCGGCGGCAGAAGTGGCTGTGGGAATGGCGGTGGCAGAGGCAGGCGATTGCATTCTGTTAGTGGTCATGGTGGGGGTGCTGGGATGTCAGAAGGGGGAGAGCACGGAGCAGCCATGTTGAATGGGGGAGGAGAAGGATGGGGGGGATCCAACAGGAGGCCGGCGGATGGATGGCGGCCACGAAGAGGGGGTGAAACTTCACTGATAGGTCCGACTGCAGTGAGAGCGCCAGCAGCAGTGGCAGCAGGAGCGCAGGCACGGGCAGGAGGGGGAGCGGAGGTACCACTGAGTGTGGCGACGGGGGGGATGCGCGGACAGAATGGCGGTGGAGCAGTGGCTGGCAGGGGGGATGGGGGGGCAGCAGTGGTAGCTGTGCAGGTGTTGGCTGGGGAGAGGGCGTTTGTGCCACTCGATCCGTCCCTCACGGGTTCCATAGTGAGTGTGATTGCAATTGGATGGATAATGTCTGGTTATGTGTTTGTCATTTTTTTATTATGTTCCTATCTAGATGCTTGTAAAGCTGGTCAGATGCTCCTGAATTTCCCCTTGCTTTACCCGTCCCTTTTGCTCTATCTTGCCTGCTCACCCACCCTGACACTTTGCCCATTTTCCTGATTTGTCCACATTGCCTCTCGCCCTTCCCTCACCCTCGACCACTTATTATCTGTTGCCCCCCTCCCCCCCCTCGCCCCCCCACCCCTTCAACCCTCCCCTCCCCTTTTCCCGCCCTTCCTGCCCCTTTCCGTCCTAACCCCAAAACCACCACTCCCCCCTCCCCCCTTCCCCAACCTCACCCCTGTCATTTTTCATCTGAAGGTATCCTGGCGGAATCTTATACGAAGACTCGGTTGTTTTCACGGAGAGGAAGGGGTGTGGATAGCGGAAGCAAGTGACGCTGCAGAAATGTCGCTCACTCCACATTTTTCCCGAGATCCCACGGAGAGATTGGCTGCGGATGCCTTGGCGAAATGGAGGAACAGAAACAGTCAGGTAGTGTTAGAGTATGCATCAGGTTCTCTTGGCCTTTCAGTATAGTCATTATGCTAATTTCATTCGATTTGCACTGTGCAGGTAGTAGAAAGCTTGCGCCAAAGTTTGTGGCCCCTATTATTTAATGGTAAGAATGTGTAGTTGCACTTACGGTAGTAAGAAAGCACTAAAAGAATTCCCAAGCGAGGTCAATTTATGAATGGGTGTGAATTACTCAGGTTGAAACGACCTGTATATTATAACTTCAGCACGGAATATGTGACAACTGTACGCGTTATTGATACGAGGGGCACCCTAGAGGTCAGGTCTGCTCCCCGCCAACCTGTCACTCTCACGTGTACTTGGCTTGGTAGCCCCGCTCGTCCTTTTTCTGCGGTGTTGCCTGCCAGCTCCTGACAGCCTGAGGGTGTTGAGGATTCTAGGACCAAGTTCAATTCAAGCTCTCAAACAAACAGTGAGGGTCATAACTGTCGCTACAAGGTCAGAGAGAGGCCGAGTGCGGTGAGAATCATTATTTTCATCGTACCGCAATCTCGTCAACCAACTGTTATGATTATCCTCAGTCCTTGTCCTTCCCGCAATAGTGCGTTACTCAATCACGCGCAGATCCAGAGGGGATCGTTAGAAACCCTAGGAAGTACAGTATGTAATGGTATGGTCCTACAGAATTCTCCCGAGCAACAGGTTGTGGAGCTGACAGAGGCCTGCTAGCTTGCAGCCATAAATCTTATCATGCAACAGGCAATCAAATATTTGCCGTTTGGACATCATCTCCGATGTTACTAGTTTCGATCGAGCGCTAAGGCGTGTACTGCAAAAACTCGACGTCGAGGGACGTCGGTGAATCCTGACGGTTGGAACCTTTGATCCGAGGGTGGAAATTCACCGACGTTCCTCGACGTCGAGTTTTTGCAGCACTTAGCACACGCCATAACGGTGTATATTCCTCGAGAGCCGAGTTGTGCATGCCACTGCTTGCAAGAGCTACTATTCAAGGACGCTGCAGCTAATTGTCAGCTGCTGAGTATGGCAGCTGGCGGGGCGCGATACTTGCGGAAACGTTTCTGTCATTTCTGTCCTCCCCTCGTCAGCCACATTACCTAGGAGTGGGTTAGCATGGCCGAACTTGTATATTAGCTGCAGATCCCATCGCGACCCTGAACATTGACGCAACAACTTCAACTTATCAGCATCCATTGCGGTATATTACCAGCACTATACCAGCATTCTATCTGCCTTCTATCAGCGTGCGTTGAACTCCTTGACTAGCACTACACCAGTTTCACATCTCGACAGACGGAGACTGCATTCAGTGTCACAATGATGCTTCCAGCAAGCCAGATCCTGGTGCCGCTGCTGCTGCAAGATTTCGACATCAAGTGAGTCTTAGTAGTGGTACCAGCATCGCTTGATTTGAATCGAGCTTACTAGAGCCGCCGCAGTCCCACATTGCTCAGAATCCCGCCATTGATTGTTATGACAAATCTCAAGCGATTTTGTTCTATCATTCTCATCTCCGGTCGTTCTGCCTTTCCCCCCTCTTCCCCATTCCCCCTTTCTTTCCGCGTACCGCAGCTGGAAGCCGTCGAGTCCGCCGAACAAGCGCGCGAGGCTGCGCGAGTTCAAGCACTGCATTCCCCACGACGGGCACGAGTGGCTCAAGTACGGCCAGAAGGACATCTCAGGCGGCCGCTTCTCACGGTCAGTCCTAATACATGCCCTCTTCAACCGTTTTTGTTCTTATAATTTCTTCTTCGTCTTCTTCATCTTGTTTTTTTATAGGTTCGTTTTTTCTCCTCTTTTTTTTTTTCACGCCAAAACAATGTTGTGGAATGGTGTGCTACTCCGCTAGTTCTTAGATCCGTCCATCTCTGGTGACGCACTGGTTGGTGTGCTGTACAAGTGTCGATTATGACAGTGACAACGGCCTAACATGTTCTCCCCGTCTTGCTATTCCCTCTTGTCATTGCTCCTAACAGGCATTATTTCCGCTGCAGCCACTCCGACAACGGCGGACGCCGCTGCCCTGCGCGCCGAGTGGTCGACGTGCACACGCTTTTCGGCCAGCCTGGCGCCTCTGACATTGCTCCACGTGTCACCTACTCGGGCAAGCACAACCACGCGCAGCCTGCCTCTCGCACCCCCTCCGAGAACGAGTCTCTGTTAACGAATCCCACATTCCCTACAGAGCGCGCCAATCTCACTGCTACTGGTAGTATGTGGGAGCAGCTTGCAATCACAGGTCACATGTTCCCGCTCCCGCGTGCACAGCTGCAGCATTCTCCATGCTCTGAGAAGCGGCAGCACCATGCGACCACACTCGACCTATCTGTGATTCGCAGCGGTTTGGCGAAGGAAGATGGCGAGAGGTGTGACAACTCGTGCCCGCTCACACCCACCACGCCCAGCTCGCCACCACCGCTGTCCCCGCCACTGTCCGCCCCGCTGTCTCCGCAGTCGTCCCCAGCGCCTTCCACGCCGGTTTCCCCGCGGACTCCCGTTTGGCTCTGGGCGGTATCATCCAGCAGTGTGATCCCGCCATCACCAGGAGCAGCGGCGGAGGAGGCTGAGCAGGAAACTGGGGAGCTGCATACGGGCTTGGCTAACGGAAAACGAAAGTGGTCAATGCTGGTGAACGAGGCTGCTGCTGATGACATGTCACGAGCAGATGTCAACTTGAAAGGGTGTCAAGGATTCCAAGTTTCTGAAGTCAGCCTGGGTTTGAATCATGGGATTCTGCTGCCAAGCGAAGATCTTGATACAAATTCGAAGACTCCGTCGGAGCCTTTGGATCATGGGGTGCTGCTGACAGCTGCGGATTGGGCTAGCGCGAGCAACAACTTTGACACGTTTGATCTGAGCCCGTTACAAGGTGCTCCGATTGGGACAGCATGTCCAAACGGAGCTCCTGCTGCTCTTCCCAAATCGGGGTCAGTAACATGGCAGAATATGCGGGAGTTGGAGGCCTTGGCTCCGCTCTTCCCACCGCCAAGCGCAATGGGATCGTCCGACCTGACGACAAATGAGGTGGCTCAAGTTCAACGGTGCTGCTGCTCACCCTGCATGCTCCCTCCTTTGAAAGAGCCAGCTTTGACTGTGTCGTTTAAGTGCTCTGCAGCAGGCGGATGCGTTTCAGCCAAGGGCTCGTGTGATCGAATCTCCTCAGATTTGGCCAATCACGGTGGAGGAGTTGCTCCTTCAGCTGGCAGGGAGGGGTTGGTGATTGCGGAGGATGAGACAGGGGTGATTCAGGTGGTGATGAGTGACGAGATTCCGCGGCGGCAGGAAAAGCAAGCAGACGATTTTCGCAGCAATGATCCGGAGATTCTCCTGGATCGACGGGTTCCGGAGCTCTCGGAGATTCCTTCTCGGTCTAAAAGGAATGTGTCAGCTGGAGGATCGGAGGGAACGACTGTGCTTGACGAATGGTTTAGTGAAATGGGTGCTGCTGATGGTTCATGTGGCCGTACTAGCAAGGACAATAAGTGGGGTGCGACTTTCATAAGAGAGATTAGAGGGGTTGATGTGTTCGGTGATGAGAGAAGCTCCAGCCCGCTTGTTATCTTGGAAGACTCCCTGGGCATGCTCCACGTTGGAAGTGAAAAAAGATGGTAAGATTACTTCAGAAGCGGGTTGAGCCTAGATGCTGAAAAACAGCATTGCCTGCGTGCTCCATAACCAGGCTGAGTATTGTATACATGTAGATATATGTACGTTGCACGTAGGCTAGTCAGGGTCTCTGATTGATGATATATATATATAGATATATATATATACATATATGGTAGCAGCCATTCAGGCATTTTACTTGTCACTTAGTTTTAGGTGAGGTGTGGTCTCCCTGGCACAAATAGATTTGTTGGCGTTCGCACGTGCCCGTAGCAGAATTGACTGGAGGAGCGCGGGAGCTGAAACTTGCTGACAGGTGCCGCGGGCCGTCCGATCGAGTGCCATTCATCTGCGAAGCAACGTCCCTGAAGATGGGGCGAGAAAGATGGGTGAACCGGATTGGGTGAGTGTCAGGTGAACCGTCTAGGCTTTCCTGTAAACAAATTTCTTGCGTTTCCAACCCTTGGAATCTTCAACAACCGCTCTGTTACAGAAAGCATCTTACTGAACCGTGCTATACAATAGTGGGCTTGTGACATCCATGCATCATCCGAACATCATAATCGCCTTTCCCAGTCGTTGTCTTGTCAGCCTTTTCCAGTCTGGTTGCTGTTATGGTTGCTTTCTGCTTTGAATGGAATCTCGTGCTCCTTCTGCTGGTGGTTCAGACTGAAGCGAAGCAGCAGGAGAGAGCGTTTATTCAACCTGCTTGTGCATTGCTTAAAAAAAAAACATTTATTCTAATAGCTTGAGCCCAGCTCGGATCTTGTCCTCTTCGCGTATCGAGCCTCCTTTTTCTAGTACAGTATATCCTAGCGATAACATTTATTCTCTTTTCATTGAGTCAAAATGCCGTCAAAGAAGAATAAGAAGAACAAGAACAAGCCGACAGTGAACACTGGTACGAGTTTGCCACTCGCTAGCTCTTGTACGATCAATGACCCTTCTGAGAAATTTCACGCCACTTCAATATTCTAGATCCACGACGCAATCAAGTACGTGTACTTCCATAACTGCGTCTATGCTTCAGCTGCAGAGAAAACGTCGTCCACGGCGAACTCGAAAGATACGCCCGAGACTCCGACCACTCCTGCGACACCGGCGACTCCTGCGACTCCAGCGACGGCATCGGATGCGGTCTCGACCAAAGGTCAGCTCAGAAACTCTCTGCATCGGCCTGTTCTTGCATCTCCTTCCATCCGTGTCATTTTTTTTTGCAGATCTGGCAGGAATAGAAACGGATCTGCGCCTTTACATGATTTCCTTGATGTCGCATGACTTTCCCGTCCCAGGCGACGTGAAACCAGAGGAACCACAAAAGGCCGTTCAGGCGACTCAGGCGACGCAAGCGACTGCGCCAGAACAGTCGGCTCAGGCAAATGCTTCGTCGAATGGGGGAGCTGGCGGAGGAGGAGGGGGAAAGAAGAAGAACAAGAAAAAGGCATCCTCTGAAGCCGTCGGTGAGGAAGGTAATGGAATCTTGTATTCGCCATGGTAAGCGAATTGTGGCAATGTCGTGCTGCACTCTTCATGGTTTCTCTGCCTTTCAGTCGTAAGTAACTGAATAAATCGCGAATTCATCGACGTAAACCGCTGCGAGAATACATTACGACCAACAGTTTTTTCCTCCTAACTGGGCCATGCAAGGGTCGAAATGATGGAACCCGCCCTTAGACCCTTTATTGAAATAAGACGGATTTGGCAATGCCTGGTCGCCAGCTGGAAAGCTCAAAGTACGCTGATCACGCTGATTATGCTGATCACGCTGTCCTATTTGGGGGGCTGTTTATATTCCGGTTCATGCAGTATTGTTCATGGAGTAGGGTCCATAATGCACGGTTTCTGGCGTAGCTGGGGTTGTCACTCGCTAACCGAACATTATTCAAGTTTGCTTTTTCTGTTTGCTTGTGGTCTCTCCGTCCCTTCTCAACAGCTCCCGCAACTGCCACACCACAAGCCTCAGCAGATGCTGATTCGTCAGCTTCAGCTGCATCCCAGCCCAAGGATGGAGGGGAGGTCATGCTGGCAGCTGCAGCAGCAGTAGTCGCTGCGGCCGCCGTCTCTGTTGCTCCCGAGCCAACCCCTGAGCCGTCACCAGAGCCTGCACCTTCAGCCCCTGAACCTGCACCAGCAGTCCCTGAGCCTGCACCTGAAGCACCTGAGCCTACACCTGCAGTCCCTGAGCCTGCACCAGCAGTCCCTGAACCTGTACCCGAAGCACCTGAACCTGCACCAGCAGCCCCTGAGCCTGCACCTGAAGCATCTGAACCTGCGCCAGCAGCCCCTGAATCTGAACCTGCACCAGCAGAACCTGAGCCTGCTCCTAAAGCACCTGAGCCAGTGCCTGCAGCCCCTGCAGCCCCTGAGCCTGCTCCAGAGGCCACACCGGTATCATCTGAGCCTGCACCAGCAGCACCTGAACCAACGCCTGCTGCACCTATAACAGCACCTACACCGATTCCTGAACCAGCAGCCGTCACGGCGGCACCACCTGCAGTGGAAGAGAAACAACCAGAATCAGAGGCCAAGATTGCAGTCACAGAAAGCAGCAGCAGCAGTGCAGAATATGCAAGGGAAGGGGCTGGGGGTGGTGCAGAGAAGCAGGGTTCTGCTGGCACGGCAGCGGCAGTGGCTGCTGCTGGGTCATCATCGTCTGGGGGGGTTGCGGAAGAAACGAAGGCTGTGGTTTCAGAAACGAGGTCGAGCTCAGGAAGTGAGGCTGGGAAGCCAGTGGAGGAGGATAAGGATCAGAACGGTGTGCAGGGAGAGAAACCAGTCGCCACCTGCCAGGTACGACTAAAAGAAATTGGTCTTTACGTAATATTTTCCGCGCCAATCCCTCCCAATGCATGTGATAATGTGTGCAACCCACCATCCTGTACGTTTTGCTGCTTTGCTGCTCCGCTTTCTTTTGGCTCCTGCTGTTGGCAAAAGGCACTAACATCTGAACCCACTATGCATCTTTGTCAAATCCCGCATTGCACGATTGACTTCCTGACTTGTGCGGCAAAATTGCGTTCATATACTACAGGAGCCAATTGAGATCATTGAGCCGAAGCCACTACCTAACTGCTCTGCACTTATCTGCTGGATCTTTGGCTGGACTGTGTAAATTGTGATTACGTGTAATCACTTGGCAAATCAGCAGCTGGATGCAGCACATTTGGTAACCTGCAGTTCGTGAGCTTTTCTAATTAGCTGTCGATAGAACGAGCCTGACTGTTATGGATTCTGGTAAATTTGGCCCTTTTTAACCGTTGCATGCTTTCAGTTATCATTTTCACACCTTCCATCAGATCCTAGTGACTATGTTCTTCATTAGGTCTTCATTGCACAATGTTTTTAGAGAACAGAGCATTACTACACGAGTTATGCAGTGACGATCGGACGTATGTTGTGCACTGTAGTCTTCCATTATGGATATGCTTCTTGAGCAGGGCTGTCGATTCAAGGGCATTTTCCCTTAATGCCCTGAACATTCCGGGTGAACTCCAGGCCAGCTTCGGCATTTCAAAGGGCTGGTTTCGAGGGGAGCCCGTTTTTCTTACGGGCTGATTTCGAGAAATTGGGGTATCAACCCGGATAGTCAAGGGCTGGTTTGGGGCCCTTCCCTGAGATCCCGGATAAGTAGTACAAGTAACCTTGCGAGTTTCCTAAGTTGACACTCTTCTCCTCCCGTACCCTTATCCCTGTCGCTCCCACATTCTATCTTCTTGGTATGAAAGGAGGTTCTAGGGTTGATGTTTATGGCTGTGGTTGCAAAATATTTCTGAGACATTGTTCACCCCTCACAATTCTAAGTACTCACGCTGGAATCAAGACACTGACACCCTTACATGGTGAGGTAGGATTCAGCCCCATCGGTTCACACTAGGAATACTACATGAGAACGAACTTCCTTGGAAGTGCTTTGCAATTGTCCACAAGAGTTCAAACGACTTCTTTGCTGACGATATTTGCCCTACGAGCCCCCCCACCCCTCCCCCACCCCTCCTCCCCCCTTGATGTAGGTTCGTAGATAGTCGTTAGCAAGCTCCTTTCCGCTGACATCCCCCTTTGTGAAATTAGGGCACACGTACATTTTTTAAAGAAGCCCGGATTTCAAGTTTTGGTTTGGACCTGCACCCGTGATCGTTAAGGGCTAAAAAACGGTCACCTTCGCGAAAATCAGGGCCAAACTTCGAGCAGCTCAGGACTCAAAGTGTTGGCCCCAGGAACTTCGACAGGCCTGTTCTTGAGTCGTCAGAGTCGCTACGGGGATGGTTTAGTCCCCCACTCGATGCCACGAAGCGCAATCGAGGCCTTGTGTGAGTTCGTGTCCGTAGGGTTGACATGTCAAGTGAGAGCGCGTGAATCCGAAGCGCATTCAAATTAGAGTGTCAAGCACTGTAGTGGAAGTGTCAAGTCAAAGCGCAGGTACGAACATCAGCGACGCAATTTCATTGGTTTGAGAATTTGTCATGGCCAGATCTGCTAGGCAACGAACAAATCAAAAGACATATTGTGTGATGATTGGGCAGCATCTGGTCGTGAGATAGGTACCTGCGACAATCTTCTCTCGTTTGTAGGTTTGTCTTTGCCAATTTCAAAAGTGTCCGACGATTTGTATTGGCTGGCAACCTGCAATTTCTTGACACTCTGCCAACAATGTTGGCAGAGTGTCAAAATGCCAAGTTGACACTGGCCACTTTGACATGTCATCCCTACGGACACGACCTGAAAACTCGAGTCTTGACGTGCCCGCCAAGCCAAACTGCCTCTTTCAGGGGGTACCAGCTCGTATGTTTGTCGTGTACGGTGCAAAACTATGAAGCAGAGTATCCGCTTTCCACCGTATGAAACCCCCATAATGGCACCATCGATCCTGCTTTTATGCTATTTTTGGAGGTTGAATCAACGAATCAACCTGTAAGGGGGTAACCAGACATACCGCGGGTTGACCAGACATCCTGCACAACACGCCCTAAGCTAGTAAGGCGAGTTCTGCTCTGCGATAATGCAGAAAGCCAACTTCAAGTGTTCTGTGCTGTATGGATTGTGAGATGCACCAAGCCCGTGACATTTCAATCAGGCATAACCTTGGGATAGGAATGTATGAGTCAGGGTTCGCGGCGCGGCGGAGTTTCCAATGACATGACAAGTCCACCTAGAGGTTATATCGCAGGCATTGCCAGCAGCAGCCCAGAATCTCGTGGAGCGTTAGTGGCGAAACAGTTGGCATGCTGCCATGTTATTGGCAGCTCGCCAAGCGAAGCTCGTTAGCCTCGATATTTCCAGCCCCATATGTCACAACAGCCACGCCTTGACAGCGATACGCCCACATAGCTGCATGGAGGAATTGGCCGTCTCGGACCGTTGGTTTTATATAATAGCCACGTGTCGTTCGACCAGCGCGTGTCAGAGCTGCATGAGAAACGCACATCTCGTCCTGGCTTTCGCGACAACCACAATCTAGGTCCTCCTTCCATCCGTTTTGTTCGTCGTATTACTCGCTCAGCACTGAACGTCTGTGCTGTAACAACATTTCGTCGTTACCGACAGAAAAACCTTCGCGAATATTCCCGAACGAAAGCTACCGTACAGATTCCCCACCACCACCCCCACCACCGCTGCTACCTCCACTAAAATTCTGATCATAAATTGCCAGCATGCCGTGGTTCGGAGGGAAAAAAGCAGCCAAGCCTCCGCCGCCGCCGCCTCCGGACGGACTGCTGCAGATCAGCGATCGCGTGTTCGGTGAGTATTAGGGTTACTTCAGGTAACTACTCGCGCGAGCTTTCGCGTGGCAGCTGTCCTTGGAATTTCGCTGCTGAGGTTTGGTAGTAGGATGCAAGGTTTCCTGTTCAACGGTCGCGATGAGCGATACATATTAGCCGTCTGCTTCCTTTCCCCCACTCCTCTTCCCTTACTTCCTTCTCGCCTCGCTTTGCATCCTCACTCGTCTCGTGGAGTATTCGACTCCGGATGTCTAGCCGCGTACCTACATATTACCTTGTTTCTCATATTTCCTCCTTTGCTTCTAGACCCAACTTCCCGTTTTCAGTTCAAACCACCCTCCACTTCCCCCTCCTACTTTTCCCTCGGACCTTCGTCTTAGGTAGTTCGTGAGTTCAATCAGGCATCACTCCAATCCTTTTTTTCCAGTCGATTCATAAGTCACCCCGGTCCCTGTTTTTTAGTCAACTCAAAGGCACTACGCTGTCTCTCCCCTCTTCCTTGCCCGTCTGTCTATCCCTTCCTCTGCGTCCTCTACAGCTCTCTTCCTTCCTCCTTTTTTCCCTTCCAGCAGTCTTGACTCTTCTATCTCTCCATCCCTTACTTCACTCCCGCCTCCTTGCTTCCTTATTTCCTCCCTTCTTTCCTCCCCCCTCTGGCCTCCCACATCTCGTTCCTTCGGTCTCTGATCCCTCCTCCTACCCCTTCTCCCTTCCGCTGACCTCTTCAACCCCTTTTCCCTTTGTTCCCTGATCCCTCCCTCCCCTGCTCCCAATCCCCCTCCCCCTCTCCGCAACCCCCACCCTGCTTCCCCCCCCAGTGTTTGATTCCTGCATTGCCAACGACGTGCCCACCACAGCCACCTACCGCCTTTACTTTCGCCAGATCTGCACAGATCTCCGCAATCATATCTCCAACGCATCCATCCTCATCTGCAATTTCCGCGACGGCAGCAGCGGCTCCAGCCGAACGCTCTTCGCCGGATCTTATTTTCTAGATTCTGATGCCACAGTTCTTGAGTACCCCAGACATTTCGAGGGCTGCCCGATTCTTTCTCTTGACCTAATCGACCATTTTCTCCAGTCCACCAATAGCTGGCTCCAGCAGGAATTTGACCTGCCCGGTCGCAAGCCAAATCTGGCAAAAACGTTATTGGAGGAGGCTGATGGGGGGACACCAGCAAAGCAGCAGCAGCAGCAGCAGCAATTAGGGTTGGCTTCACCGGGCGGCAACGGGCGGCGGAAAAACATCGTTCTCTTGCACTGCGAGCGAGGCGGGTGGCCTCTCTTGGCGTTTATGATCGCCTCGTTCTTAGTGTTCCACAAGGAATGGAACGGAGAGGAGGAGCGAGATCTCTTACAGGGCATCTACAAAGCGGCTCCTAGGGGCTTCCTACAGCTGCATTACCCCTTAAACCCTGTCCCTTCCCAGGCGAGGTACCTTCAGTACATAGCCCACTGCGTCAGCTCTTTACCCCACGGGTTTATTGAGAGGGAAAGCAAGGACAAGAAGGGGAAGGGGAAGGGAAAAGGGGTGGCGGAGGAGGAGGGCAGCGAGTGGGGGAGCCAGGTGCTGGTTCCGTCTTCTAGAGAGGGGTGTCTGGGAGCGAGCAGCAGCCGGATGGTGACTCTAGACTGTGTGATTATGCGCGGTGTGCCACAGCTGGACGCTAGAGGCGGGTGCTGCCCTGTGATCAGAGTGTTTGGGCGCGATCCTGGCCTGCCGGAGAACCGAGACTCGGGGCTGCTGTTTCTGAGCGCGAGGCATGGCGTGAATCGAGCCAAGTACTACCTGCAGGTGAGGCAAGGGGTAAAGAGATCTGCTGAGTGCTACCTGCAGGTGAGGCAAGGGGTAAAGAGATCTGCTGAGTGCTACCTGCAGGTGAGGCAAGGGGTAAAGAGATCTGCTGAGTGCTACCTGCAGGTGAGGCAAGGGGTAAAGAGATCTGCTGAGTGCTACCTGCAGGTGAGGCAAGGGGTAAAGAGATCTGCTGAGTGCTACCTGCAGGTGAGGCAAGGGGTAAAGAGATCTGCTGAGTGCTACCTGCAGGTGAGGCAAGGGGTAAAGAGATCTGCTGAGTGCAAGGGCTCACACGTCCCTGCCCTCCCTTGCCCTTTTCACGTGTAGAAAGAGTAGTTTTGAGACGTCTCAAAACTACTCTTTTTACAAGTGAGTGCATGTGGGTGGGTCGGCTCACACGTCCCCGCCCTCCCTTGTCCTTTCTCCCACTTTTGGCGGCCAGAGTGAAGGGGGATAGTGAAGATGGATGCGATGGCAGTGGTACAGGGCGACGTGGTGATGGAGTGCGTGCATTTGGCTGCTAGACTAGACTCACACCTCCTTTCCCATTCCCCCCCCCCCCCTCCGCCTCCCTGCCCTCCTACAACAAGTAAAGGGAAGCGGAGGTGGTGAAGATGGATATGACGGCGGTGGTGCAGGGCAGGGCGATGTGGTGATCGAGTGTGTGCATGTGGGTCAACTCACAAGTTCCCCGCACACACCACCTCCCTCCCCACCCACCCTGCCCCCCTTGCGCTCCCCCTTCCAAACAGCCAGAGGGAGGGAAGCGGAGGTGGTGAAGATGGATGTGACGGCGGTGGTGCAGGCCGATGTGATGATCGAGTGCGTGCATGTGGACATGGAGTGGGGAGGCGCCGAGCAGATGGTCGACTCGACCGAATGGTCCCCCTCCTCAACCGCTCCCCTCCTCACCTGCTCCCCTCCCCTTTTTTCCCTTTTTTACAACCAGAGGGAAGCGGAGGTGGTGAAGATGGATGTGATGGCAGTGGTGCAGGGGGACGTGGTGATAGAGTGCGTGCATGTGGACAGCTTGACTCAAACGCCCCTTCCTTTCCAAACCTCCTTTCCCGTTCTCTCGCACACCCCAACAACCAGAAAGAGGCGGAGGTGGTGAAGATGGATGTGATGGCGGTGGTGCAGGGGGACGTGGTGATAGAGTGCGTGCATGTGGACATGGAGGGCGCGGGCAGTGAGCAGATGGTGTGGCGAGTGGCGTTCAACACGGCCCACGTGCGATCCAACATGCTCGTGCTCTCGCGGGACGATCTCGATATTCTCTGGCACACAAGGGAGCGGTTCACGCAGGACTTCAGAGTGGAGGTGAGTTCTTGTGTAGGGTTGATATATGAGATTTCTGTTATTAGATTTCTGTTAGGGTTGGGGTGGGTGCAGTGCGGTGGCGCACAAGACATCAGAGAGTGGAGATGAGGTTTGAGGCAAATGGTAGTGAGCAGATGGCGTGGCGAGTGACTGGCGATCAACACGGCCCGTGTGCGATCTAACATGCTCGTGCTCTCCCGGGACGATCTCGATATCCTCTGGCACACACGAGAGCGCTTCACACAGGACTTCAGAGTGGAGGTGAGGTGTGGCATTAGCCTGAGTTGAGGTGAGGTGAACGTTCTTCAGGGGTTGCGGTGCGGGATGCTCCAAAAATCACTTTCGTCAGCATTTCTAGGCACGCCATTTCCCTTTAGCATGTGCATTTAATGCTGCTCGTGCCCCTGCCCCACCCTCCAGATTCTTCTGATTTCCCCCTCTGACCCGCGTTCGGTGTTGCCCTTGCCCTACCCACTCACCCTCCAGATCCTTCTGACGGACCGGGATTCCAAGGTACTGCCTCCACCAGCCGCCACCTCCCTGGCGGCAGACGACTTCGGCGGTCTACCCCTCGATTCCTTCCTCAAGCTCAAGGAGGCTTTTGAGGATTCCAATTGGTCGCAGGATGACAGCTCACGCGCCCTAGAAGAGATCCGCCACACCATCTACTCCGCAGCCAGTACCAAGAGGAGAAACCGCCGCAGTGGAGGGTTGCGGGTTCGAACCCGGGTGCCGGCAGGTGGGAAGTGGGGCCCAGGAGGGGCGGGGTTTGCAGGGGATATGCTAGATGATAGCGATTATGCTTCGGATTTGGATTCAGCTGATACTTCTCCGACGTTTTCGAGCATGTTGCATTCGAGGGATGGGAGCCCGTCGCCATCTCGGCCGTTTGGGAGTGGTTTAGGGTTTGGGATGTTTGGGTTTCCGGGCGGGAAGGTGCGGAGGAAGGTTGGGTCGGAGATGGTGTTGCCGCCTGGGTTGTTGTTTGCGGAGCAGACTTATACGGAGGAGGAGGGGCTGACGAGGAGAGAGAGGGCGAGTGCGGGGGATTTGAAGATGCTTTGGTTGGATTTAGCGAATGGGCCGTCGCTGTATTGGAATGAGTGGGATCCGGAGCTGAATCCTGTTCTGGGGAAGCTTTTAGGGAGGATGTCGAAACGGGTGCCGGGGTTTAAGTTGCCCGAGATGGGTTTGCTGGGGCAGAAGGGACTGGAGAAGGGGGAGGATGAGAAGAAGGAAGAGGAGAAGGAGGAAAAGAAGGAGGAGAAGGAGGAGGAGAAGGAAGAGGAGAAGGAGGAGAAAAAGGAGGAGAAGAAGGAGGAGAAGAAGGAGGAGAAGAAGGAGGAGGAGAAGGAAGAGGAGGATGAGGAGGAAAAGGCGGCTGCTGCAGCTGCTGCTGCTGCTGAGGCTGCAGCAGAGAGGAAGAAACAGGAGAAGCTGAGGAAGGCTGAAGAGAGGCGGATGGAGGCTGAGAGGAGGAGGTTAGAGGAGGAGGAAGAGGAGAGGAGGGAGGAGGAGAGGTGGAAGGAGGAGCAGAGGAGGAGGCAGGAGGAGAGGGCAGCTAGAAAGGCAGCATTAGCTGCAAAGATGGCTGAGCCAGATCCGCCCAGTCCCAAAGTAGCCCCCCCGCCCCCGCCTCCTCCCCCAGTGGGGGGACCTCCCCCTCCTCCTCCGCCTCCCCCTCCCCCACCCCCTCCCCCAGGCGGAGGCGCTCCTCCCCCTCCCCCTCCACCCCCTCCCCCACCCCCTCCCCCAGGTGGGGGTCCTCCCCCGCCCCCTCCCCCGCCTCCTCCCCCACCCCCTCCCCCAGGAGGGGGTCCTCCCCCGCCCCCTCCCCCGCCTCCTCCCCCGCCCCCTCCTCCAGGGGGTGCCCCTCCTCCTCCTCCCCCTCCTCCCCTTCCGCCAGGGGGGCGGGTCCCCCCGCCTCCTCCGCCCCCTCCACCTCCTCCCCCAGGTGGGGGACCTCCCCCTCCCCCTCCACCTCCCCCTCCCCCTGGCGGGGGCCCTCCCCCACCTCCCCCCCCACCTCCTCCCCCAGGTGGTGGCCCTCCCCCTCCTCCCCCCCCACCCCCTCCCCCAGGCGGGGGCCCTCCCCCGCCTCCCCCTCCCCCTGGCGGGCCCAGAGGACCTCCCCCTCCCCCTCCCCCTCCTGGCGGGCCCAGAGGCCCCCCACCCCCTCCCCCTCCCCCTGGGGGGGGAAAGGGTCCCCCGCCGCCCCCCCCTCCCCCAGGGGGCAAGGGCGGACCACCTCCCCCTCCCCCGCCCCCAGGGGGAAAAGGCCCTCCAGGCCCTCCCCCTCCCCCCGGATTGAAGGGCCCCCCTCCTCCCCCCGGGTTCAAGGGGAAGGGTCCCCCTCCCCCCCCCGGGTTCAAGGGGAAGGGTCCCCCGGGGCCCCCTCCCCCCGGGGGGTTCAAGGGGGGGTTTGCAGCTGCTGCGCCCCCCCCCAAGAAGAAGACCCCCCTGAAGGCGTTTTTCTGGGGGAAGGTGACGCGAGTGGTGGAGGGAAACATGTGGGCGGAGGTGCAGAAGGAGGAGCAGGTCGCTGCTACCCCCAAGTGAGTGCTTCCCTCCTCTCTCTTCCCTCCTCTCTCTTTCCTCCTCTCTCTTTCCTCCTCTCACTCTCCTCTTTCTTGAGACGTCTCAAAGGAAGGTGACTCGAGTGGTGGAGCGGAGGGGAACATGTGGGCTGAAGTGCAGAAGGAGGAGCAGGTCGCTGCCACCCCCAATTGCGTACCTCCCTCCTCTCTCTTTCTGCGTCTCTTTCCTTCTCTACTGCCTCCTGGTTCTTTCCTCGCTTCTTTCCTCCTCTCTGTTCCTTTGTTATTCGTCTCATCCGTTCCGTCCCCACCCCCACCCCCCGTCCCCACCCCCACCCCCCGTCCCCACTTTCCCCATCCTCGTTGACGCGATTCTTCCATATGTTGCACCTTACCGCACTGCTCCTTACCGCACTGCACCTTACTGCACTGCACCTTACCACACTGCACCTTATCATGCTTCTGTAACCCTCCATGGCCATTCGGCTCACGCACCTTGTTCCACCCCCTGCTCTCATCAAAACACCATTTTCCTGCATCCGGGCGGTCTGTCTCCCTTGTTTGCATGTGGGCGGCGTTCTTTGTCTGCATGTGGTGCAGGCTGGACCTGGAGGCGCTATACCCAGAGCTGGAGGATCTGTTTTCTGCCGCCCCTCCCCCCAAGAAGAAAGACACCGGGCCCAAGAAGGAGGCCAAGCCGCAAGCACTCTCTCTTGTGAGTTGCCTCGTGCCTCGTGCCTCGTGTCTGTTTTCTGCCTCGTGCCTCCCCCAATGCCTTGTGCCTCCTCGTTCCTCATGCTCCCTGTGCCTCATGCCTCGTGTCCTGTAAGCACCCTATTCTTGTGCCTCCTCGTTCCTCATGCTCCCTGTGCCTCATGCCTCGTGTCCTGTAAGCACCCTATTCTTGTGCCTCCTCGTTCCTCATGCTCCCTGTGCCTCATGCCTCGTGTCCTGTAAGCACCCTATTCTTGTGCCTCCTCGTTCCTCATGCTCCCTGTGCCTCATGCCTCGTGTCCTGTAAGCACCCTATTCTTGTGCCTCCTTGTGTGCTCGTCTTCTCTGCTGCGTGCTTCAGTTCAAACCCACTTGAAGGGTGCGGTCGACAGTCCTTTCTTTTCTAGTCAACACAACTTCTTCGTTGCAGCTCTTGTTCATACGCCTTTCTGGTTGTAGTTCAGCTTTTTGAGGCGCCTCAAAAGACGCCTTTCTGGTTGTAGTTGAGCTTTTTGAGGCGCCTCAAAAGACGCCTTTCTGGTTGTATTTCAGATCGATTGACGTCAAGCGTGCCAACAGCTTAGGGTTGAGCAAAAAAACGAACACCTGTTTTCGAGGCGAACCGAACAGGTATTTTTTTTTGGCTTAAAATGTTCGCCGAACAGTGTTCGATGTTCGCCCGAACACGTTCATGTTCGGGCCGCTGCTGCAATTTGCCCGCGACGAACACGAACAGTGTTCGAGGTTCGCCCGAACACGCCTTCACAGGCGAACGGCGAACACCATTTTTTGCTCAAAGTGTTCGCTGAACCGAACAGTGTTCGGTTCGGCAAACGAAGGTGTTCGTGTAGGGGCGAACACGAACACGTTCGTGTTCGCCACTTGCTCATCCCTACAACAGCTGGTGTTTTACAAGCCGACTCATTACGTTTTCCCCGATTCCTTTTCCTTTTCGGTTGCGTCTCAGATTGATATGAAGCGAGCCAACAATTGTATGATTATGCTTTCCAACATGAAGCACCTCAAATACAATGAGATTGTGGTGAGTTCCAGTGCGGTGCGGTGCGGTGCGGTAGGGAGCTGTGTAGAAGGGTTGAAACGAATTCTGGCAAGTGGAGTTTCTGGGATTATGCTTTCCAATATGAAGCACCTGAAATACACTGAGATTGTGGTGAGTTGAGTTGAAGCTGCTCAACCCTTGTGCCGCAGCTCAGGTCAGATGCTCCCTCTCCTCTCCTCACCATTCGATAATAAGTTGTTTTCGAGACGTCTCAAAAACAACTTATTATCACCTCAAATACTCGGAGATTGTGGTGAGTTGAGTTGAAGACGCTCAACCCAACCCTTGTGCCGCAGCTCAGATCAGACACTCCCCCTCCTCACCATTCAGTCAGCCTCTCTGTCAGTCTCGTCTCGTGCTGCAATCTCCACTTGTTTCCCGATCTTCTTCTCGACAGCTCATTCTCTCTGTTTTGATTCGTTCTAATCCGTCCGTGTCTCCAATCGTGGAAGCCACGTGAAAGAAGGAGTGTTTTGAGACGTCTCAAAACACTCCTTTCACGTGGCTCTAATCCGTGTCTCCAAAACACTCCTAATCCGTGTCTCCAAAACACTCCTAATCCGTGTCTCCAAAACACTCCTAATCCGTGTCTCCAAAACACTCCTAATCCGTGTCTCCAAAACACACCTAATCCGTGTCTCCAATCGTGTTTTGAGTCGACTCAAAACACACCTAATCCGTGTCTCCAATCGTGGAAGCGACTTTTCAATCCACCTTATAATCTCCTCAGGACGCCATTCTAGCGCTGGACAGCAAGGTGCTGGACGCGGAGAAGGTGGACGCTCTGCTCAAGTTCTGCCCCGCCAAGGAAGAAGCGGAGATGCTCAAGGTGTGTCTGTGTGTGATGGTGGAAGTGAGTTTGATGTGTGAGCCAGTTTTGCTTCAGTAAACAAGGACGACTGGAGAATGAGGGCGTGGGGGCATGAGGGCATGGAGGTGTGGCCACCCACACCTCCATGCCCAAATTGCACAGTGCTGACTAGGGCCTCTGGCTCGGACCAGCTCCGAACAGGTGCTGATGGGGAGAAGGTGGATGCTCTGCTCAAGTTCTGCCCCGCCAAGGAAGAAGCGGAGATGCTCAAGGTGCGTGGCAGCTGGGTGGGGAGGGAAGGAAAGGTATGATGGTGGTAGTGAGTTGGACGGGTGAGGCAAGCTTGAGGTCGTTTCTGAGGCGCCTCAAGAAACGACCTTGATGGTGGTAGTGAGTTGGACGGGTGAGGCAAGCTGGTTGCGAGGCAGTTCTTTCTGGAGCTGCTGCGTGCGTGCAATCTGCTTCTCCTTCCTCTGTCTCCTTCCCTTTGTCCTCTTTTATCCCCTCCTGTCCCCCCTATCCCCTCCTCCCTTACAGGGCTGTCTGTGGCATGCCTCCAAAGAAGCTGGGCAAGTGCGAGCAATTCTTTCTTAAGATGCTAAGAGCGTAACTATCTGCCTCTCCTTCCTATCTCCCCTTCCCATTGTGCCCTCCTATCCCCTGCTATTCCTCCCATCCTCGCCTCTCAGGGCTGTGGCATGCCTCCGGAGAAGCTGGGCAAGTGCGAGCAGTTCATCCTGGAGATGCTGCGAGCGTCGTAATTTCTCTCCTTCCCTCCCACTTCCCTTCCCTTTACCCTCTATTATCCCCTCCTGCCCTCATCCCGCTCCGCAGGGCTGTGGCATGCCCCCGGAGAAGCTGGGCAAGTGCGAGCAGTTCTTTCTGGAGATGCTGCGAGCGTCATAACTTCCTTTCCTTTCCCTCTACTTCCTTTCATATCCACTGCTATTCCTCCCATCCCCATCTCCCAGGGCTGTGGCATGCCTCCGGAGAAGCTGGGCAAGTGCGATCAATTCTTCCTGGAGATGCTGCGAGCGTCGTAATTTCTCTCCTTCCCTCCCACTTCCCTTCCCTTTACCCTCTATGATCCCCTCCTGCCCTCATCCCGCTCCGCAGGGCTGTGGCATGCCTCCGGAGAAGCTGGGCAAGTGCGAGCAGTTCTTTATCTGTCTCTCCTTCCTCTCTCCCCTTCCCATTGTGCCCTCCTATCCACTGCTATTCCTCCCATCCCCATCCCCCAGGGCTGTGGCATGCCGCCGGAGAAGCTGGGCAAGTGCGAGCAGTTCTTCCTGGAGATGCTGCGAGCGCCGCGTATCGAAGCCAAGTTGAAGATCTTTGAGTTCAAGCTGTCGTACGACCAGCAGGTGAATGCCCATGCCCATGCCCATGCCCATGCCATGCCATGCGTGTGGCCAGTGTTGTATGGAAGAAAAGCTGCGGATATTTGTGCTCAAGCTGTCGTACGACCAGCAGGTGAGGGCCATGCCATGCCAAGCCAAGCCAAGCCAAGCCATGCCATGCCATGTGTGTGGCCAGTGGTGTATGGAAGCCAAGCTGCGGATCTTTGAGTTCAAGTTGCCGTATGACCAGCAGGTGAGGGGAGTGCCACGTGGCATTTGCTTCATGCGTGTCTCATCACGTGCGTCGGTTGAGGGCTTGCTGGCAAGTGGTAAAGAGACAGGCAGCACAAGTGTTCCAGCAGCAGGCTTCAGAAGTGCTGGTAAAGTATGGTGGGGTTTGGCTTGGCTAGGGCTCGGCTCGTCACACAAGGCAACAACCAAAGCACACCGTTGGGGCGCCTCGAAAGCTGTCTCTCTACCTGCATTTTCAATATCGGCTTGCCGCAAGGCAAAATCAAAACGACATCACCACTTCTGAATCCTGTCTGTCTTCCGGTTTGCATCCAGACCACAGGTTTGCGTTCACAATGTGTTCTTTTCTTTTCTTTTCTTTTCTTTTCTTTCATTCTTTTCCTGGGCGCCGTTCTGTTGGCTACTTTTCTCATGAGTGATCTAAGTATACCCACCACCTGCAGGTCAAGGTCGTGCAGCGTGATTGTTCAGTTGACTAAAAACAGTACACCCCCGGATGAATAACACCCCCGAACTGCCTCATCACACGCGGATTCGACTGTGCCCCCTACACTACCCACCTGCTGGTCAAGGACGTGCAATGTAATTGTTGAGTTGACTAACAGTACACCCCCGAACTGCTTCATCACACGCGAATTCCATCATTCCACTGTGCCCCCTACCTACCCACCTGCAGGTCAAGGACGTGCAGCGCAATCTGGATCTGGTCCACAATGCGTGTAAGGAGGTGAGTGTGACTGTAAGGAGGTGTGTGCGACTGTAAGGAGGTGAGTGTGCCCCTAAGAGGTGAGTGTGACTCTAGGGGGGTGAGTGGGTGTGACGGACTGTGAGGAGGTGAGAGTGTGACAGTGACATAACCTTGAGTTGATGAGTGTGAAAGTGAATTTAAGGAGATGAGGTGCGCGCTTCCCCCTCTTCCCTCACTCCCCCCCCCCCTCTTCCCTCACTTCCCCCTCTTCCCTCGCTTCCCGCTCTCCCTCGCTTCCTCTTCCCTCCCCCTCTTCCCTCGCCTCCCCCCACTTCTCCCGCTTCTCCCTCTTTCCTCGCTTTTCCCTCCTCGCCTCCCCTTCTGCCCTCTCTTTTCTTGCCTCCCCTCGTCTCTCTCAACCCCACTCTACGATCCACTCCCTTCATCCCCGTCTTCCCTCACTCCCCCTCTCTCTTCCCTAAGGCACCACGCCAGGTGCAGGATTCCAAGAGGCTGAGGCGCATCATGCAGACCATTCTGTCCCTGGGGAACGCGCTCAACCAGGGCACTACTAGGGGCTCTGCTGTGGGGTTCAAGCTTTCACCCACCACTCCCTCTCTCCTCTCTTCCCTGTCGCCGCTGTTCCCTATGGCACCACACCAGGTGCGGGATTTCAAGAGGCTGAGGCGCATCATGCAGACCATTCTATTTCTGGGGAATGCGCTCAACGCAATCAGGGCACCGCCAGCCACTGGCTCTGCCGGCCGTGGGGTTCAACCTCCTTTTGAGTCGACTCAAATGCCGGCCGTGGGGTTCAACCTCCTTTTGAGTCGACTCAAATGCCGGCCGTGGGGTTCAACCTCCTTTTGAGTCGGCTCAAATGCCGGCCGTGGGGTTCAACCTCCTTTTGAGTCGACTCAAATGCCGGCCGTGGGGTTCAACCTCCTTTTGAGTCGACTCAAATGCCGGCCGTGGGGTTCAACCTCCTTTTGAGTCGACTCAAATGCCGGCCGTGGGGTTCAACCTCCTTTTGAGTCGACTCAAATGCCGGCCGTGGGGTTCAACCTCCTTTTGAGTCGACTCAAATGCCGGCCGTGGGGTTCAACCTCCTTTTGAGTCGACTCAAATGCCGGCCGTGGGGTTCAACCTCCTTTTGAGTCGGCTCAAATGCCGGCCGTGGGGTTCAACCTCCTTTTGAGTCGACTCAAATGCCGGCCGTGGGGTTCAACCTCCTTTTGAGTCGACTCAAATGCCGGCCGTGGGTTCAACCTCCTTTTGAGTCGACTCAAATGCCGGCCGTGGGGTTCAACCTCCTTTTGAGTCGACTCAAATGCCGGCCGTGGGGTTCAACCTCCTTTTGAGTCGACTCAAATGCCGGCCGTGGGGTTCAACCTCCTTTTGAGTCGACTCAAATGCCGGCCGTGGGGTTCAACCTCCTTTTGAGTCGACTCAAATGCCGGCCGTGGGGTTCAACCTCCTTTTGAGTCGACTCAAATGCCGGCCGTGGGGTTCAACCTCCTTTTGAGTCGACTCAAATGCCGGCCGTGGGGTTCAACCTCCTTTTGAGTCGGCTCAAATGCCGGCCGTGGGGTTCAACCTCCTTTTGAGTCGACTCAAATGCCGGCCGTGGGGTTCAACCTCCTTTTGAGTCGACTCAAATGCCGGCCGTGGGGTTCAACCTCCTTTTGAGTCGACTCAAATGCCGGCCGTGGGGTTCAACCTCCTTTTGAGTCGACTCAAATGCCGGCCGTGGGGTTCAACCTCCTTTTGAGTCGACTCAAATGCCGGCCGTGGGGTTCAACCTCCTTTTGAGTCGACTCAAATGCCCGCCGTGGGGTTCAACCTCCTTTTGAGTCGGCTCAAATGCCGGCCGTGGGGTTCAACCTCCTTTTGAGTCGACTCAAATGCCGGCCGTGGGGTTCAACCTCCTTTTGAGTCGACTCAAATGCCGGCCGTGGGGTTCAACCTCCTTTTGAGTCGACTCAAATGTCGGCCGTGGGGTTCAACCTCCTTTTGAGTCGACTCAAATGCCGGCCGTGGGGTTCAACCTCCTTTTGAGTCGACTCAAATGCCGGCCGTGGGGTTCAACCTCCTTTTGAGTCGACTCAAATGCCGGCCGTGGGGTTCAACCTCCTTTTGAGTCGACTCAAATGCCGGCCGTGGGGTTCAACCTCCTTTTGAGTCGGCTCAAATGCCGGCCGTGGGGTTCAACCTCCTTTTGAGTCTACTCAAATGCCGGCCGTGGGGTTCAACCTCCTTTTGAGTCGACTCAAATGCCGGCCGTGGGGTTCAACCTCCTTTTGAGTCGACTCAAATGCCGGCCGTGGGGTTCAACCTCCTTTTGAGTCGACTCAAATGCCGGCCGTGGGGTTCAACCTCCTTTTGAGTCGGCTCAAATGCCGGCCGTGGGGTTCAACCTCCTTTTGAGTCGACTCAAATGCCGGCCGTGGGGTTCAACCTCCTTTTGAGTCGACTTAAATGCCGGCCGTGGGGTTCAACCTCCTTTTGAGTCGACTCAAATGCCGGCCGTGGGGTTCAACCTCCTTTTGAGTCGGCTCAAATGCCGGCCGTGGGGTTCAACCTCATTTTGAGTCGACTCAAATGCCGGCCGTGGGGTTCAACCTCCATTTGAGTCGACTCAAATGCCGGCCGTGGGGTTCAACCTCCTTTTGAGTCGACTCAAATGCCGGCCGTGGGGTTCAACCTCCTTTTGAGTCGACTCAAATGCCGGCCGTGGGGTTCAACCTCCTTTTGAGTCGACTCAAATGCCGGCCGTGGGGTTCAACCTCCTTTTGAGTCGACTCAAATGCCGGCCGTGGGGTTCAACCTCCTGTTGAGTCGACTCAAATGCCGGCCGTGGGGTTCAACCTCCTTTTATGTCGACTCAAATGCCGGCCGTGGGGTTCAACCTCCTTTTGAGTCGACTCAAATGCCGGCCGTGGGGTTCAACCTCCTTTTGAGTCGACTCAAATGCCGGCCGTGGGGTTCAACCTCCTTTTGAGTCGGCTCAAATGCCGGCCGTGGGGTTCAACCTCCTTTTGAGTCGACTCAAATGCCGGCCGTGGGGTTCAACCTCCTTTTGAGTCGGCTCAAATGCCGGCCGTGGGGTTCAACCTCCTTTTGAGTCGACTCAAATGCCGGCCGTGGGGTTCAACCTCCTTTTGAGTCGACTCAAATGCCGGCCGTGGGGTTCAACCTCCTTTTGAGTCGACTCAAATGCCGGCCGTGGGGTTCAACCTCCTTTTGAGTCGACTCAAATGCCGGCCGTGGGGTTCAACCTCCTTTTGAGTCGACTCAAATGCCGGCCGTGGGGTTCAACCACCTTTTGAGTCGACTCAAATGCCGGCCGTGGGGTTCAACCTCCTTTTGAGTCGGCTCAAATGCCGGCCGTGGGGTTCAACCTCCTTTTGAGTCGACTCAAATGCCGGCCGTGGGGTTCAACCTCCTTTTGAGTCGACTCAAATGCCGGCCGTGGGGTTCAACCTCCTTTTGAGTCGACTCAAATGCCGGCCGTGGGGTTCAACCTCCTTTTGAGTCGACTCAAATGCCGGCCGTGGGGTTCAACCTCCTTTTGAGTCGACTCAAATGCCGGCCGTGGGGTTCAACCTCCTTTTGAGTCGACTCAAATGCCGGCCGTGGGGTTCAACCTCCTTTTGAGTCGACTCAAATGCCGGCCGTGGGGTTCAACCTCCTTTTGAGTCGGCTCAAATGCCGGCCGTGGGGTTCAACCTCCTTTTGAGTCGGCTCAAATGCCGGCCGTGGGGTTCAACCTCCTTTTGAGTCGACTCAAATGCCGGCCGTGGGGTTCAACCTCCTTTTGAGTCGACTCAAATGCCGGCCGTGGGGTTCAACCTCCTTTTGAGTCGACTCAAATGCCGGCCGTGGGGTTCAACCTCCTTTTGAGTCGACTCAAATGCCGGCCGTGGGGTTCAACCTCCTTTTGAGTCGGCTCAAATGCCGGCCGTGGGGTTCAACCTCCTTTTGAGTCGACTCAAATGCCGGCCGTGGGGTTCAACCTCCTTTTGAGTCGACTCAAATGCCGGCCGTGGGGTTCAACCTCCTTTTGAGTCGACTCAAATGCCGGCCGTGGGGTTCAACCTCCTTTTGAGTCGACTCAAATGCCGGCCGTGGGGTTCAACCTCCTTTTGAGTCGACTCAAATGCCGGCCGTGGGGTTCAACCTCCTTTTGAGTCGACTCAAATGCCGGCCGTGGGGTTCAACCTCCTTTTGAGTCGACTCAAATGCCGGCCGTGGGGTTCAACCTCCTTTTGAGTCGGCTCAAATGCCGGCCGTGGGGTTCAACCTCCTTTTGAGTCGACTCAAATGCCGGCCGTGGGGTTCAACCTCCTTTTGAGTCGACTCAAATGCCGGCCGTGGGGTTCAACCTCCTTTTGAGTCGACTCAAATGCCGGCCGTGGGGTTCAACCTCCTTTTGAGTCGACTCAAATGCCGGCCGTGGGGTTCAACCTCCTTTTGAGTCGGCTCAAATGCCGGCCGTGGGGTTCAACCTCCTTTTGAGTCGACTCAAATGCCGGCCGTGGGGTTCAACCTCCTTTTGAGTCGACTCAAATGCCGGCCGTGGGGTTCAACCTCCTTTTGAGTCGACTCAAATGCCGGCCGTGGGGTTCAACCTCCTTTTGAGTCGACTCAAATGCCGGCCGTGGGGTTCAACCTCCTTTTGAGTCGACTCAAATGCCGGCCGTGGGGTTCAACCTCCTTTTGAGTCGACTCAAATGCCGGCCGTGGGGTTCAACCTCCTTTTGAGTCGACTCAAATGCCGGCCGTGGGGTTCAACCTCATTTTGAGTCGACTCAAATGCCGGCCGTGGGGTTCAACCTCCTTTTGAGTCGACTCAAATGCCGGCCGTGGGGTTCAACCTCTTGAGTCGGCTCAAATGCCGGCCGTGGGGTTCAACCTCCTTTTGAGTCGACTCAAATGCCGGCCGTGGGGTTCAACCTCCTTTTGAGTCGGCTCAAATGCCGGCCGTGGGGTTCAACCTCCTTTTGAGTCGACTCAAATGCCGGCCGTGGGGTTCAACCTCCTTTTGAGTCGACTCAAATGCCGGCCGTGGGGTTCAACCTCCTTTTGAGTCGACTCAAATGCCGGCCGTGGGGTTCAACCTCCTTTTGAGTCGACTCAAATGCCGGCCGTGGGGTTCAACCTCCTTTTGAGTCGACTCAAATGCCGGCCGTGGGGTTCAACCTCCTTTTGAGTCGACTCAAATGCCGGCCGTGGGGTTCAACCTCCTTTTGAGTCGACTCAAATGCCGGCCGTGGGGTTCAACCTCCTTTTGAGTCGACTCAAATGCCGGCCGTGGGGTTCAACCTCCTTTTGAGTCGACTCAAATGCCGGCCGTGGGGTTCAACCTCCTTTTGAGTCGACTCAAATGCCGGCCGTGGGGTTCAACCTCCTTTTGAGTCGGCTCAAATGCCGGCCGTGGGGTTCAACCTCCTTTTGAGTCGACTCAAATGCCGGCCGTGGGGTTCAACCTCCTTTTGAGTCGACTCAAATGCCGGCCGTGGGGTTCAACCTCCTTTTGAGTCGACTCAAATGCCGGCCGTGGGGTTCAACCTCCTTTTGAGTCGACTCAAATGCCGGCCGTGGGGTTCAACCTCCTTTTGAGTCGACTCAAATGCCGGCCGTGGGGTTCAACCTCCTTTTGAGTCGACTCAAATGCCGGCCGTGGGGTTCAACCTCCTTTTGAGTCGGCTCAAATGCCGGCCGTGGGGTTCAACCTCCTTTTGAGTCGACTCAAATGCCGGCCGTGGGGTTCAACCTCCTTTTGAGTCGACTCAAATGCCGGCCGTGGGGTTCAACCTCCTTTTGAGTCGACTCAAATGCCGGCCGTGGGGTTCAACCTCCTTTTGAGTCGACTCAAATGCCGGCCGTGGGGTTCAACCTCCTTTTGAGTCGACTCAAATGCCGGCCGTGGGGCTCAACCTCCTTTTGAGTCGACTCAAATGCCGGCCGTGGGGTTCAACCTCCTTTTGAGTCGACTCAAATGCCGGCCGTGGGGTTCAACCTCCTTTTGAGTCGGCTCAAATGCCGGCCGTGGGGTTCAACCTCCTTTTGAGTCGACTCAAATGCCGGCCGTGGGGTTCAACCTCCTTTTGAGTCGACTCAAATGCCGGCCGTGGGGTTCAACCTCCTTTTGAGTCGACTCAAATGCCGGCCGTGGGGTTCAACCTCCTTTTGAGTCGACTCAAATGCCGGCCGTGGGGTTCAACCTCCTTTTGAGTCGACTCAAATGCCGGCCGTGGGGTTCAACCTCCTTTTGAGTCGACTCAAATGCCGGCCGTGGGGTTCAACCTCCTTTTGAGTCGACTCAAATGCCGGCCGTGGGGTTCAACCTCCTTTTGAGTCGACTCAAATGCCGGCCGTGGGGTTCAACCTCCTTTTGAGTCGACTCAAATGCCGGCCGTGGGGTTCAACCTCCTTTTGAGTCGGCTCAAATGCCGGCCGTGGGGTTCAACCTCCTTTTGAGTCGACTCAAATGCCGGCCGTGGGGTTCAACCTCCTTTTGAGTCGACTCAAATGCCGGCCGTGGGGTTCAACCTCCTTTTGAGTCGACTCAAATGCCGGCCGTGGGGTTCAACCTCCTTTTGAGTCGACTCAAATGCCGGCCGTGGGGCTCAACCTCCTTTTGAGTCGACTCAAATGCCGGCCGTGGGGTTCAACCTCCTTTTGAGTCGACTCAAATGCCGGCCGTGGGGTTCAACCTCCTTTTGAGTCGACTCAAATGCCGGCCGTGGGGTTCAACCTCCCTTTGAGTCGACTCAAATGCCGGCCGTGGGGTTCAACCTCCTTTTGAGTCGACTCAAATGCCGGCCGTGGGGTTCAACCTCCTTTTGAGTCGACTCAAATGCCGGCCGTGGGGTTCAACCTCCTTTTGAGTCGACTCAAATGCCGGCCGTGGGGTTCAACCTCCTTTTGAGTCGACTCAAATGCCGGCCGTGGGGCTCAACCTCCTTTTGAGTCGACTCAAATGCCGGCCGTGGGGTTCAACCTCCTTTTGAGTCGACTCAAATGCCGGCCGTGGGGTTCAACCTCCTTTTGAGTCGACTCAAATGCCGGCCGTGGGGTTCAACCTCCTTTTGAGTCGACTCAAATGCCGGCCGTGGGGTTCAACCTCCTTTTGAGTCGACTCAAATGCCGGCCGTGGGGTTCAACCTCCTTTTGAGTCGACTCAAATGCCGGCCGTGGGGTTCAACCTCCTTTTGAGTCGACTCAAATGCCGGCCGTGGGGTTCAACCTCCTTTTGAGTCGGCTCAAATGCCGGCCGTGGGGTTCAACCTCCTTTTGAGTCGACTCAAATGCCGGCCGTGGGGTTCAACCTCCTTTTGAGTCGACTCAAATGCCGGCCGTGGGGTTCAACCTCCTTTTGAGTCGACTCAAATGCCGGCCGTGGGGTTCAACCTCCTTTTGAGTCGACTCAAATGCCGGCCGTGGGGTTCAACCTCCTTTTGAGTCGACTCAAATGCCGGCCGTGGGGTTCAACCTCCTTTTGAGTCGACTCAAATGCCGGCCGTGGGGTTCAACCTCCTTTTGAGTCGACTCAAATGCCGGCCGTGGGGTTCAACCTCCTTTTGAGTCGACTCAAATGCCGGCCGTGGGGTTCAACCTCCTTTTGAGTCGACTCAAATGCTGGCCGTGGGGTTCAACCTCCTTTTGAGTCGACTCAAATGCCGGCCGTGGGGTTCAACCTCCCACCACTCCCCACTCTCTCTCCCTCTTCTCTCTCCCTGCTCTTCCCTATGGCACCACGCCAGGTGCGGGATTCCAAGAGGCTGAGGCGCATCATGCAGACCATTCTGTCGCTGGGGAACGCGCTCAACCAGGGCACCGCCAGGGGCTCTGCCGTGGGGTTCAAGCTGGACAGTCTGCTGAAGCTCACCGACACCAAGACGCGCAACAACAAGATGACCCTCATGCACTATCTGGCCAAGGTGGGTGCTGTGCGGTGAAGCTGGGTGCTGTGTGGTGAAGGTGGGGTTGTTGAGGGGTCAAGGTGGGTGCAGTTGTGCTCGTAAAGTGAACCCATAAGTGGGGTGGGTTGGCTTTCAAGCTGGACAGTTTGCTGAAGCTCACCGACACCAAGACACGTGAAAAAAGAAGAGTTTTGAGACGTCTCAAAAGTCTGCTGAAGCTCACCGACACCAAGACGCTCAACAACAACAAGATGACGCTCATGCACTATCTGGCCAAGGTAAGTAGGTGCTTAGTGGTGAAGATGGGTGCAGTTGTGCTGGTAAAGTGAACCCATGAGTGGGGTGGATTTGCTTTCAAGTTGGACAGTTTGCTGAAGCCACCAAGACGCGCAACAAGATGACCCTCATCATGCACTATCTCACCAAGAGCGCTGATGAAGGCCACTGGCCGAAACGCGCGTACGCTCAGGTTTGAATGAAAATCTCTTATCTATTCAATCCCTACTAGCCTAAGCTCAGCCTAGAGGAGATTAGGAGATTAGGACGAGTTACCTGTTGGATCCAGGTCGAAACTGTTTTTCTGTGCAACAAGATGACCCTCATCATGCACTATCTCACCGAGGTGGGAGCTGCCGAGGAGTGAAGATTCCCCTTGTTTATCCTGCCGTACTCTCTTTCTTGTTCTCCACACGTAATGTCCATCTGTTTTCTCTTCACTCAAACGCTCCTTCTCACTCTATTTCGTCTGTGCAAAGCAAGCCTGCGCACGTGATAGAGTGAAGTTTTGAGACGTCTCAAAACGGTCCTTCTCTCTCTCTCTCTCTCTCTCTCTCTCTCTATTTCGTCTGTGCAAAGCAAGCCTGCCCACGGACCCCTCCTCAGCTACCCACAGCAGACAGACAGGTGTCCGTACCTTGTTTTGTTGTGTGCCCACCCAAGTGCAAGCAATAAGCTCTTCTGCTGATCATTTTCACGATTGAATGTACATTCTCCATGCGAACCCTGCTTTTCTCAGTATATTCTCTTCAGGTGCTCACGGAGAAGCTGCCTGAGCTCGCCTTGTTCTGGGAGGAGCTGCGTGCTGTAAAGCAAACCTGTGTTTCCCCGCTCTCCCCCTACGCCTACCTACTCCCTTCGCCTTCCCCCCCCCCTCCCTTTCAGGTGCTCACGGAGAAGCTGCCCGAGCTCGCCTTGTTCTGGGAGGAGCTGCCGTCCCTTGAAGATGCCCACAAGGTTTGTCTCCCGAACCTGCCCACAAGGTGTGTCTCCTGAACCTGCCCACAAGGTGTGTCTCCCGAACCTGCCCACAAGGTGTGTCTCCCGAACCTGCCCACAAGGTGTGTCTCCCGAACCTGCCCACAAGGTGTGTCTCCCAAACCTGCCCACACCGTTTGTCTCCCGAACCTGCCAAACAGCACTTGAGCAGCACTAAGTTGAGCCATTGACCCACTATCGGGCTTCCTTCTTCTTTGAAGAAGTGTTTTGAGACGTCTCAAAACACTTCTTCAAAACCGAACCTGCCAAACAGCACTTGAGCAGCACTAAGTTGAGCCATTGACCCACTATCGGGCTCCCCTCTTCTCTTCCCTCCCACCCGCTATCGTTCTCTCTGCCCTCATTGTCCTCTCTGCCCTCATTGTCTCCCCCCCCACCTCCCCTTCTCAGATTCAAGTGAAGTAGCTAGGAGAGGAGATGCAGCAGCTCAACAGCGGCACCACCAAGCTGGACTGTAACCCTTTCTCTTCCCCTTACCCCCTGCTCTCCTCACCACCCGAATCCCTTCCCTCCCTCCTCCACCTTTCAGATTCAAGTGAAGCAGCTGGGAGAGGAGATGGGCCAGCTCAACAGCGGCACCACCAAGCTGGAGCGTGCAGTGTGCCCCATTCTCTCCCTTTTGACCCTTCTATTCCTCCCCCCCCCCCAATCAGATTCAAGTGAAGCAGCTGGGAGAGGAGATGAGCCAGCACAACAGCGGCACCACCGAGCTGGAGCATTGAACCACTCCCTGGTTTCCCCTCTTCCGTCCTTCCCCCCACACCCGCACCCCAACACCTCTCACCCCGTTCAGATCCAAGTGAAGCAGCTGGGAGAGGAGATGGGCCAGCTCAACAGCGGCACCACCAAGCTGGAGCGCGAAATGGTGGCGTCAGAGAAGGACGGGCCCGTGTCTGAGAACTTCCGAACGGTGAGGGGAAGTGGGGGGTGGGCTTGAGCATGAGGGAGTAGTCATGGCTTGCGAACATGAAATGGTGGCATCAGAGAAGGACGGGCCCGTGTCTGAGAACTTCCGAACGGTGAGGGGAAGTGGGGGGTGGGCTTGAGCATGAGGGAGTAGTCATGGCTTGCGAACATGAAATGGTGGCATCAGAGAAGGACGGGCCCGTGTCTGAGAACTTCCGAACGGTGTGTTAAGGGAATTACTTTGGGAGGGAGTTTAGAAAAGGAGGAGATGGGGGGATGCTTAGGGAGACAACACAAATGGTGGCATCAGAGAAGGACGGGCCCGTGTGGGAGAACTTCCTAGCGGTGGGCAAGGAGGGGGGGTAAGGGCATTCCGTAGAGGGGACCCCTTCCGTGGAACGGTGGGCAAAGGTGGCAGGTCAAGGGGGGGTGTGGGGGGGGCGGGGGGGGGGAAGGGGGTGTACTACTTCAGAGGTTGTGGGGGCTTGGGGGGGAAGAGTAGGTGGTGGCATTTCAGTGTGAGTTGAGTCGACTCAAAAATCGACTCATCTCACAAGAGTAGGTGGAGCATTTCAGTTCAGCGCGAACTGGTGGCATCGGAGAAGGACGGCCTGGTCTGGTCTGGTCTGGTCTGGTCTGGTCTGGTCTGGTCTCACTCAAAGAACTCCCAAAAGGTGGGCAGACATGCATGCATACATACATGCAGACATACATGCAGACATGCATGCAGACATACATGCAGACATGCATGCAGACATACATGCAGACATGCATGCTTGCCAAGCTTGTCGTCACGACGATTGCCAACCTACCCATTCTGCTCAACCGTTTATGCCTCCCCGACCCGACCCCTCCCACCCCCACCACCACCGCAGGCGCTGAAAGAGTTGGCAGAGGAAGCCACGTCAGGATCCAATCCAAGAGGCTTTTGAGTGGCTTCCTCAACAGTCATCCCCGCCTCTCGGCCCCCTCCCCCATCCCATCCATCCACTGCAGGCCCTGAAAGAGTTCGCAGAGGAAGCCACGTCAGGATCCAAGAGGCTGGCTGCACTCTATGCTGACGTGGTGGGTTGACTTCCTTGACTGCCTTGACTGGGCTGACTGCCTTGACTGGGCTGACTGCCTTGACTGGGCTGACTGGGCTACTGCTGTGATCGCCTTGACTTGCGTGCCTGTAGTGTCTGGGTTTACTGGTTTCTTCTCTTCTTTACTGATTTTACTTTTCTTTTTTACTGAATGCTGATTGTTGGTAGTGTATCTGTCCGTGATGCAGAGGTGTTTTAGAGCCTCAAATTTCCCTGTGGCACGCACTAACACATTGTTGTTTCGTCGAAATTTAATCGAGAAATAATTCGCATTGCATTTCTTGTTCGTATGGGAACTTTATGGCTGCGCTAACGTTTGCAGCTGTTGCCTTCTATGGGTGTGATGGCATGTGGTGTGTGATGTGGTGTGGTATGGTGTGGTGTGGTGTGGTATGGTGTGGAGTGGCGCTACTGGACTGGTGGTCCTGTATTATGGGTTATGGTGCTGTGTTGCATAACACACTTGGGCTTTGCTGCATTGCTGCATGCATGGTGCTGCATGTTGTTGAACAATGCTGCATGGTGCTGCATGGTGCTGCATGGTGTTGCATGGTGTTGCATGGTGCTGCATGGTGCTGCATGGTGTTGCATGGTGTTGCATGGTGCTGCATGGTGCTGCATGGTGTTGCATGGTGTTGCATGGTGCTGCATGGTGCTGCATGGTGTTGCATGGTGTTGCATGGTGCTGCATGGTGGTGCATGGTGTTGCATGGTGTTGCATGGTGCTGCATGGTGCTGCATGGTGTTGCATGGTGCTGCATGGTGCTGCATGGTGTTGCATGGTGTTGCGCGCATGGGGCGTGCATGTTGCTGCATGATGTTGCACGGGTGCTGCATGATGGGTGCGTGCATGGGGGGGGGGGCTGCTCTGTATTGCAGACCAAGGCAACAGATGGGCTGTCAAGATACTTTGGAGAAGACCCCGCCAAGTGCCCTTTTGAACAAGGTGAGCTCTTTCACTCCTCCCTCCCTCCGTTTGAGACGTCTCAACTGAAACTTGTCGGATGGGCTGTCAAGATACTTTGGAGAAGACCCCGCCAAGTGCCCCTTCGAACAAGGTGACTCTCCTCCTTCCTCTTTCCATCCCTCCCTCGTCCCTCCTTCCTCATATTCTCTCTCGTAACCCCACCAAGTAATCACACAATAACAATGCCTCGCAAGGGATTTTGGAGAAGACCCAGCCAAGTGCTCCTTGGAACAAGGTGACTCTCCTCCCTCCTCCTTCCTCCTTCCTCCTACCTCCTTCCTCATTCCTCCCTCCCTCCTCCCTACTCCCCCTCCCTCTCCTCCCTCTCTCTTGCTAACCCACACAATGAAAACGCACGGCACTACCTAACTACCTCCATTTTGCACATCCCCTTGATTTTTTCACAATGAGAATCGCCTGCTTGCAAAGTCAACGCTCAACACAGCCTACCTCTATTTTCCACTTTTGAGACGTCTCAAAAGAAGACAACGCTCAACACAGCCTACCTCTATTTTCCGCTTTTGAGACGTCTCAAAAGAAGACAACGCTCAACACAGCCTACCTCTATTTTCCGCTTTTGAGACGTCTCAAAAGAAGACAACGCTCAACACAGCCTACCTCTATTTTCCGCTTTTGAGACGTCTCAAAAGAAGACAACGCTCAACACAGCCTACCTCTATTTTCCGCTTTTGAGACGTCTCAAAAGAAGTCAACGCTCAACACAGCCTACCTCTATTTTCCGCTGTCCTGTCCCCCTCTTCCCGCCCCCGTTGCCTCCATGCTTTTTGAGAATTCTCGAAAAACATACACTGCCTCCATGCTGCACAAATTCGTCCAGTCCTTAAGAGGTCTCTAGGCCAGAATATCACATACAACCTTTATATCTCCCATCCCATCTCTCGGAACCTTCATATTTCGGGGCCTCTTAAAAGTGCAGTCTTCTATAAAGCTTCAAGACGACAACTAATAAAGCAACCTCCCCCTCTCCTGTCCCTCTTCCCCCGCCCCCGCCCCCGCCCCTGCCCCGTTTTCCCCTGTCGCTCCCTTCCAGTTGCCACTGTGCTGCGCAACTTCGTCCAGTCGTTCAAGAAGTGACTTTTGAGAATTCTCTAAAGTCACTGTGGTGCACAAAGGTGACTTTTGAGTCGACTCAAAAGTCACTTCGTCCAGTCGTTCAAGAAGCGACTTTTATGAATTCTCAAAAGTCACTGTGCTGCACAAAGGTGACTGTTGAGTCGACTCAAAAGTTACTTCGTCCAGTCGTTCAAGAAGTGACTTATGAGAATTCTCAAAAGTCACTGTGCTGCACAACTTCGTCCAGTCGTTCAAGAAGTCTCAAGACGAGAGCATATCATCCAACCTTCATACCATCCCACTCGTCCCTTCCCGCTCCCCTCTATGACTCCCAGTTGCTACCGTGCTTCACAGTTTCGTGCATTCGTTCAAGAAATCTCAACTCAAGCCGAGTACGTATAAAACAACCTTCATATCACCCCTCCCGTCCCCCGCCTCCGCACCCCCCCTCCCCCCCCCCGCCCCTCCCCGCCCACCCCCCGCTCCTGTATCACTCCCAGTTGCCACCGTGCTGCACAACTTCGTGCAGTCTTTCAAGAAGTCTCAAGACGAGAACATAAAGAATGCTGAGGCGGAGATCAAGCGAATCGAGAAGGAGAAGAAGAAAGAAGCAGAGGAGAAAAAGAAGAAGGAACTGGAGGAGAAGAAAGCGGCTGAAAGAGCGGCGAAAGCAGCAAAGGAGAAAGCAGCACAGGAGGCGAAAGAAGCGAAGGAGAAGGAAGGGGGAGGGGGGGGGAGGGGAGGAGAAAGCGGAGGGGGGAGAGGATGGGAAGAAGGACGGGGAGAAGGATGGGGAGAAGGAAGGAGAGGGGAAGAAGGAGGAGGGGAAAAAGGGGCCGGTTAACATGCTTGCTGCGATTAAGAAACGCCATGTGGCGAATGATAATGATGATGATGACGATGAGAAGAAAGATGAGAAGAAGGATGAGAAGAAGGATGAGAAGAAGGATGAGAAGAAGGATGAGAAGAAGGATGAGAAGAAGGATGAGAAGAAGGATGAGAAGAAGGACGGTGGAGATGCAAAGAAGGATGAAAAGAAGGGTGGTGAGGGGAAGGAGGAAGCAGGGAAGGAATCGGAGGTGAGTGAGGTGGAATCAAGTAGTGATGACGATGATAGTGACAGTGAAGAGGACGAGGAGGAGGGAGCAGGAGACAAGCCAGCAGAAGGGGCAGCAGCAGCAGGGGCGGCAGCAGGTGGTGCAAAGGAAGAAGCAGCAGCAGGGGCAGCAGCAGGGGAGGATGGGGCGAAGGAGGGTGGAAAGAAGAAAGTGGTAAAGAAGGTGGTGAAGAAAGTAGTGAAGAAAAAGAAGGCTGCGGAAGGGGAGGGGGCGGCTGAAGGGGAGGCGGGGGAGGGGAAGAAAAAGAAGGTGGTGAAGAAAAAAGTGGTGAAGAAGAAGGATGGGGCTGCGGGGGAGGGCGCGGATGGGGCAGAGGGAGGCGGGGAGAAAAAGACAGTTAAGAAGAAAGTTGTCAAGAAAAAGGCAGCAGCCGATGCGACTGCTTGAGTGAGGGAAGACAACGAATGTGGTCTAGAAGTAGGATGGGGCTGCTGGGGAGGGTGCGGATGGGGCGGAAGGTGGAGGGGAGAAGAAGGCTGTTAAGAAGAAAGTTGTCAAGAAAAAGGCAGCAACCGATGCGACTGCTTGAGTGGGCACTTGGGGAGGAGTTGATGCAGCGTGGTTTGAGTCGACTCAGAACACATGTGGGGGAGAGGGAGAGAGAAGGGGGGAGTAGTAGACGGTTAGGAAGAAAGTTGTCAAGAAAAAGGTAGCAGCCGATGCGACTGCTTGAGTGGGCACTTGGGGAGGAGTTGATGCAGCGTGGTTTGAGTCGACTCAGAACACATGTGGGGGAGAGGGAGAGGAAAGGGGGGAGACGAAGACGGTTAGGAAGAAAGTTGTCAAGAAAAAGGTAGCAGCCGATGTGTCTGCTTGAGGTGGCATGTCAGCAGCAGCAGCTGCGGCGGCATCAACAGCAGCAGCTGCGGCGGCATTAACAGAGAGGGAAAAGCAGGTGGTTGAAAGGAAGGCTGTGGGGGGTGAGGGGCTTTTGAGTCGACTCAACAGCAACAGCTGCGGCAGCATCAACAGAGAGGGAAAAAAAGGTGGTTGAAACGAAGGTGGTGGGGGGTGAGGAGAACAGCAGCAGCAGGAGCAGCAGCATCAGAAGCAGCAGCATCAGGAGCAGAGGAGGAGGAGGGGAGCAGGAGTGAGCTAGGCGATGGGTCGGAAGAGGGGCGGCGGGTCAAACCACTCTCGCAGATTCACCAGCGAAAGAGGAGTTGCTGGGTGAAGGATAGCTGTAATGCCAGGAGTGGCTGATTGTAGCTGCTGGGCTGGGTGGGGTTGCTGGTAGCGCTAGCCTGTAAGCCTGGGATGTTATGAGCTTTAGGCTGATGTGGAATGGTATGAGCTCGCTCGAACCTGGATTGAGGTGCGATGGTGGATGTGGCATCTGTAGCCTGTAGGTGTTAGTGGTGGCCTCGCTCAGAACCTGTAAGGGGCCTCTGTACTAAGGCCCTACTCATCCCTCAGGGGGCCTCTGAGATTGGCAGCTGATACTGAAGTGATGAGTCGGTGGTGGTAGACTCCAGATCTGGATTCTATTGCTGGTCTGCAGCAATGGCAGACTGACTAGAACTCTGTTTGCAGAGGTTGCTGTCTGCAGCAATGGCAGACTGACGAGAACTCTGTTTGCAGAGGTTGCTGTCTGCAGCAATAGCAGGAGCAGGAGATTCGTAGGGACGGCTTGCATCAGCTTCTGGTTCAAGATGAGCATGTGGCTCGGCGTGTGGCTCGGTGTGTAGCTCGGCGTGTGGCTCGGCGTGTGGCTCGGCAAGCGTCAGCATGTGTCGGCATGCGCGCCGCATGCATCAGCATGTGCTCAGCATGTGCTGTCTCAGCATGCGTGCGGCATGCATCAACATGTGTTCTCTCACACACGTGGTGAGTCTGTTAGGCAGCAACTTCCAGTTTGCCCTCTCTCTTCTTCTCCCTCCTTCCCTTCCTCTCCCTTCCTCTCCCTCCGTCCCTTGCCCCCTCCCTTGCTCTCCCACCTTATGCCAATTCATCACCTCTCTCCTGCCTGCCTCTCGCCTTCATGTTGGCAACTGCAGGCTGTTTGTAGTACCCCAAACCCAAAGGCGCTAGAAGCTAATACAGGCACTATTGAGTCGACCCGAAAAGTCGTCTTGTTGGCAACTGCAGGCTGTTTGTACCCCAAAGGCGCTACTAGCTAATTCAGGCACTACCAAAGGCACTATTACTCTTCCTCATCCCCCTCCCCAACCCCCTCCCCATCCCCCTCCTGTTCCTCTCCTCAACCCCCTCCCCAACCCCCTCCCCATCCCCCTCCTGTTCCTCTCCCCCGTCTTCTTTCGATCCCCTCATGCAATGCCTTCCCTATTGTTGGAATGTCACAGCACACCTCAAGTCACACAGCTCAACACATCAAGCCCTCCCAAATCTATTGTACATATGATCAATACTGAAGAGCAGGGTTGTTGTTACATACGAAACAGCTTGTGGGCGGTCTTGGGCCAGTGCTTGGCAGGACCTCCGTTTCCAGGGCTGAGTTAGCACGAGCTGGCAGTTGAAGTTATGATCATGTACTGGTACGGTATGTGTCTTGTGTAGCTGCTGGTGAATGCGAGTTTACAGTGTTACCGTATGAAGCACCAACTATTTCCGGTACATGCGGATTGTACAGTTGCAATGGAACTTCTGCAATAGCATCGTACAATATGTGATCCACACACTAGGTATAGGCAAATGGATGCACGAGTCAGTACTCAGAAGTGTTCCAGTCATATACAGTATTTTTTTCCCCCTTCTAGAAGATGCTACGGTAAGTTTGCACATAAAGTAAGTTGTGGTTGAAATTGCAATCACACTTCCACTGCTTCATATGGCTTTGCAGCATTGCACATGCTGCTGCGCTGCTGCACTGTGCCTGCCAGCAACACAGCGACACACCACTCCTGACTCCTTTTGAGACGTCTCAAAAGTCGCCGCTGCACTGTGCCTGCCAGCAACACAGCAACACACCACTCCTGACACCACTCTTGCGGTGAGAAGCCTCTTGCCACACTGTCCGGTCTGCTCCGGTCTTCTCCAGTCCGGTCTAATCCGTTCCGAAGAGGACCTAATTTCCCCAAAAGTCGTAATGTCTATCTGACACTCGAACTTATTATTGTGCTACCTGTGCTGCTGCTTGTGGCTGTGGCTGTGACTGCTGCAGCACAGCACCAGCAGCCCTAATAGCAGGTTGCAGCGACTCCCACGAGTGTGCTAACTGCTGCATGATGCGAACCTGGACGGCCATTAAGTCTTGAGGCATCCAATCAAATTTAGGCTGCTTGTTGTGCTGCTGCTAGTGGCTGTGGCAGTGCCTGCTGCAGAGCAGCACCAGCAGCCCTGATAGCAGGTTGCAGGGATTCCCATGAGTGTGCTGACTGCCGCATTATGCGAACCTGGACGGCCTGGAAGTCCCGGAACATGCGGTCGAAATCCGCTGCCATCTCCACGTGGCAGCGCTGCAGCTCGCCAGCTAGACGCTGCGCCACGTCAGCGTGCTCCTTCTTGGAATCTTCCAGCTTGCGACTCACCTGCTTATAAAAGGAGAGGTGGGGGATTGATGTGAGCATTTGACAAATTCACACATGAATGCATGCACCCGTCCGTTATGCACACATGTGCATGCATGAGCACAGACACATGCACACATGGTCTGCACTCACAAGCCCCAACTGCACTCACATCTGCAATCTCCTTCTCGATCTCCTCGATCTTCTCCTGCTTCATTGACGTTGCTTGCGCTCTATGCCTGCGCACGCAGGGAGAGAACACACAGCTTTTAACTCAAGACGGAACTCACATCAGGGCTCAAATCTCCTCCTGTTTCATTGACACATGGGCGCGGTGCTTGCACGCAACGCAGTCATGTGTATGAAGATTGGTTTTGAGACGTCTCATACACGGGTTTGAGACGTCTCATACACGGTTTTGAGACCAAGCTTCATACACGGTGCTTGCACGCAACGCAGTCATAATCTGCAGCGTCCAGAAACCTTGTTCTTTGCCCCAGAGCTCGAGGGTGCTTTAATCAGTAGATCCTCGCAGGGAAGGGATAACAATGAAAAACATCCAGACTCTTTTTCATTGTTTAGAAACCTCAAAAGAGCTCCCAGAATCCTAACTTTTCCTCATACACTTAACTTGCCCTCTCACACTCTCAAATACCCCTCTCTCACTCGCACCTATCAACCCATTCACACTCACAGCTTCCCCTCTCGCACTCACAGCTTCCCCTCTCGCACTCACAGCTTGCCCTCTCGCACTCACAGCTCCCCCTCTCGCACTCACAACTCCCCCTCTCGCACTCACAGCTTGCCCTCTCGCACTCACAGCTTGCCCTCTAGCACTCACAGCTCCCCCTCTCGCACTCACAGCTTGCCCTCTCGCACTCACAGCTTGCCCTCTCGCACTCACAGCTTGCCCTTCTTGGCTTTGACGTCTGCCTCGAGTTGGTTCAGATTGCGCCATGCCAGGGAGCGGTCTGAGATGGCTTTCTGCACAGGGAGAGGTGCAGAGGGAGGGATGTTAAGAGTGCAGAGAGTCCGTCCGCCTCAAAGGTCTCATCATTCATGCGTTAATAAAAACACATGTTTTTTGAGAAAAAGGTGGAGCAGAGTCTTAAACAAAAGCATGTAGAGAAACAGCAATCGGTAAGGAAATATAGAGTTGGAAGCGAATCAGAAGGAACACAGAGCAGAGATTTCATTCCAGGTGAAAATAAACAGCACTGACCTTAAGTGAAAATAAACAGCACTGACCTTAAGTGAAAATAAACAGCACTGACCTTAAGTGAAAATAAACAGCACTGACCTTAAGTGAAAATAAACAGCACTGACCTTAAGCGAAAATAAACAGCGCTGACCTTAAGCGAAAATAAACAGCACTGACCTTAAGCGAAAATAAACAGCACTGACCTTAAGCGAAAATAAACAGCACTGACCTTAAGTGAAAATAAACAGCACTGACCTTAAGTGAAAATAAACAGCACTGACCTTAAGTGAAAATAAACAGCACTGACCTTAAGTGAAAATAAACAGCGCTGACCTTAAGCGAAAATAAACAGCACTGACCTTAAGCGAAAATAAACAGCACTGACCTTAAGTGAAAATAAACAGCACTGACCTTAAGTGAAAATAAACAGCACTGACCTTAAGTGAAAATAAACAGCACTGACCTTAAGTGAAAATAAACAGCACTGACCTTAAGTGAAAATAAACAGCACTGACCTTAAGCGAAAATAAACAGCGCTGACCTTAAGTGAAAATAAACAGCGCTGACCTTAAGCGAAAATAAACAGCACTGACCTTAAGTGAAAATAAACAGCACTGACCTTAAGTGAAAATAAACAGCGCTGACCTTAAGTGAAAATAAACAGCACTGACCTTAAGTGAAAATAAACAGCACTGACCTTAAGTGAAAATAAACAGCGCTGACCTTAAGCGAAAATAAACAGCACTGACCTTAAGTGAAAATAAACAGCGCTAACCTTAAGTGAAAATAAACAGCACTGACCTTAAGTGAAAATAAACAGCACTGACCTTAAGCGAAAATAAACAGCGCTGACCTTAAGCGAAAATAAACAGCACTGACCTTAAGCGAAAATAAACAGCACTGACCTTAAGCGAAAATAAACAGCACTGACCTTAAGTGAAAATAAACAGCACTGACCTTAAGTGAAAATAAACAGCACTGACCTTAAGTGAAAATAAACAGCACTGACCTTAAGTGAAAATAAACAGCGCTGACCTTAAGCGAAAATAAACAGCACTGACCTTAAGTGAAAATAAACAGCACTGACCTTAAGTGAAAATAAACAGCACTGACCTTAAGTGAAAATAGACAGCACTGACCTTAAGCGAAAATAAACAGCACTGACCTTAAGTGAAAATAAACAGCACTGACCTTAAGCGAAAATAAACAGCACTGACCTTAAGCGAAAATAAACAGCACTGACCTTAAGTGAAAATAAACAGCACTGACCTTAAGCGAAGTAACAAATCGGACATACTCCCTAAGAGGTTCTTCAAGGTTCTCTAAAAACACTTGTGCCTGCACATACGAAAGCATATTGGACAAAACAGAGCAAATCAAATGTCACAGACACACAGAGATCTAACTGAATGCAGCTATTGTTGCAAAAAGGATAGGCATTGTTGCAGTTCGCCTGTCGGTCCAGCTGTTGGTAGTGGCCTAGTTAGACATGGGTCCTAGGCCCTAGTTTTGCTCATGTCTTGGCCCAGTGGCTAACCCACAAGGAAAGAGGAGAGGTCCCATGGGAGACGTGCATTATACGAGTCGCACAGTGCGTGCGTGCGTGTGCGTGTGCGTGTGCGTGCGTGCGTGCGTGCGTGCGTGCGTGCGTGCGTGCGTGCGTGCGTGCGTGCGTGCGTGTGTGTGTGTGTGTGTGTGTTTGCACTGCAAAGCATTACACGAAAACTGTATTCAATGTAATGCATAGCAGCAGCACCAATGCGACTGACTCACATTGTTCCGCGTGGCTGAGCCCACAATATCCGCCTTATTGCCAACCTCACTGAAGCACTTCCCCAGCGGCCCCTCCTCCCACTGCCCCAGCGACTGCAGCGCCACTCCAAACTCGCACATTGATGCCCCTAGCTCTGCTCACACGTGGTAGCGAAAGGGGGAGGGGGAGGTGGAGGGAATGGGGAGGGGATGGGGATTAGAACGAGAAAACGGCCCCTCCTCTCTCAGTTGCCAGCACATGGGGAGGGGATGGGGATGGGAATCACATGCTCCGTCTCCAGCTCTCAGTTGCCCTGCACACTTCCTGCTTCACCTCGAACCCACTCAACTTTCTGCTTCCCCTCTCGCACCCACTCACCTTTCTGCTTCCCCTCCCCTCATCCACTCACCTCTCTCCTCCCAAGACCCTCCAAGCCCCATCCCCCACTCCCCCCCTCCTCCACCCACCCACCTCGCTGCTTCTTCACGAACTGCAACGCGTCCCTATGGCAGTCCGTAAGGGCCTTCTCAAGGGCGTCAGCATACCGCCTCACTCGCTCCGTCTCCGCCTCCTCCGTCACCTCCTCCCTCCCCAGCACAGCACTCGCCAGAGTGGTCTGCACGCTGGAGAAGAGGCTCAGAAAGTCGCTGGGCTTGGCCCCCAGTAGCTTAGACTCGGATGTTTTCCGCATCTCCATGGTCTGGTGGGTGGGGAAGATGAGAACGAAAGGGTGAGTGAGCACATGGTGAGTGGTCTGCACGCTGGAGAAGAGGCTCAGAAAGTCGCTCGGCTTGGCCCCCAGTAGCTTAGACTCAGATGTTTTCCGCATCTCCATCGTCTGTTGTTGAGAGAATTTAGGGAGAGAGGAGGAGGGGAAAGGAGGGGCAAGAAGGGGGATGAAGTGGCTGGGTGTTAGCATGAAAGAGATTTCTTGTCCCCGCCTCCTCCGCCACGTCCTCTCTTCCCAGCACAGCGTTATCCTTGAGAAAGTGCTGCAGCTCCGCCGTCCCCCCCCGCCCAGCACGGGGTGCCGCCATGCAACCAGCACGGGGTGCCGCCATGCAACCAGCACGGGGTGCCGCCATGCAACCACCACGGGGTGCCGCCATGCAACCACCACGGGGTGCCGCCATGCAACCAGCACGGGGTGCCGCCATGCAACCAGCACGGGGTGCCGCCATGCAACCAGCAACCCCAACCACCCAGCCTCGCCCCAACCGCTTTTCCCCAACCCACGCACCCATCGGTCCTCACTGTCGTTCATAAACTGCTGCGGCTCCTCAGACACTCCCAGCACGGGATGCTGAGCTAACACCACGCACCAACCCCAGAACCAACCCCACAGACAGCCCCCAGCCATACACACCCATCGCTCCTCACTGTCTTTGAGAAAGTGCTGCAGCTCCTCCGCGCCTCCCAGCAGCAGGGAATGCCGTGCCAACACCACGCACCAACCCCAGAGCTAACCCCACAACCACAAACCAACAGCCCCCTGCCAGACGCACCCATCGTCCCCGCTGTCTTTGAGAAAGTCCTGCAGCTCCTCCGCGCCTCCCAGCACGGGGTGCCGTGCAACCAACAACCCTGGCCACCAACAACCCTGGCCACCAACAACCCTGGCCACCAACAACCCTGGCCACCAACAACCCTGGCCACCAACAACCCTGGCCACCAACAACCCTGGCCACCAACCTCCTCCCACCCTCCCCAACAACCACATCTCACCCCTCTCTTTCTCCCAACCCACCCACCCATCGGTCCTCGCTGTCTTTGAGAAAGTGCTGCAGCTCCTCCGCTCCTCCCAGTAACGGGTGCTTCGCCACGAGCCTGATAGCTACCTCCCTCCCTCCCCAACCAAACAACCACCCAACCCCATCCCCTCTCTTTCTTTTTCTCCCCATACACACCCATCGGTCCTCGCTGTCTTTCAGAAAGTGCTGCAGCTCCTCCGCGCCGCCCAGCACGGGGTGCCGTGCCACGCGCCGTACAAACGTCTCCAGCCCCCTGCGCCTGCTCTCCACAAACTCACGGCTGAACCGAAACTTCTCTGTGCCGGCACCACAACCAGAGGGAGAAGGGGAAATAAAAAATGGGAGGAGGGGGGAAGGGGGGAGAAGGGAGGGGGAACGAAGGGGGAGAGGGGGGTAGAGAGTAGAGTGGAGATGGTGAGCGTGATCCTGCTTGCAACGGCCGCGCTCCCTGCTGGTTGGTGGGTACCGCGCTGCGCCACGCGCCTGACAAACGTCTCCAGCCCCCTCCGCCTGCTCTCCACAAACTCCCGGCTGAACCGAAACTTCTCTGTGCCGGCACCATCAGATGAGAAGTCGAATTTTGAGTCGACTCAAAACTCGACTTATCACACACGGCACCATCAGACGAGAAGGGAGGAACGGAAGAAGGGGGAAGGGGAGGAAGACGAGGGGGTGGGGGGGGGAGGGGGAGAAGATGGAGGGGTGGGGTATAGCGCAGTGAGAACATAGATTGAGTAGCGAATCTACATCCAAGAATTGAGCAAGAGTACCACCACACCACACCATACCCCACCCCATCCCAACCCTACCTCACAGCACCTCGGGTACCCCAACCGCAGCAGCTTGACTTGCTCGCCTTAAGTTCACTCACCCACAACGTTTTTATCAGGCTGAGGCGGCACAATGGCTCCCCTGTGAAGATCGCCCAGACGGTCGAGCAGCCACTCGAAGTCGGAGAACCGAGAGAGGTCACATCACACCACTGCAGTGCGCCGCATCACACCACCCCAACCCACACCACACCCCACCTGACCCCACCTCATCCCTATCCCTCCAAGCCACCAACAACTCGGCTTGACTCACCCACGACGTTTTTATCAGGCAGAGGCGGCACAATGGCTCCCCTGTGCAGATCGCCCAGACGGTCGTGCAGCCACTCGAAGTCGGAGAACCGGCGAATTACGTACACCTCGCCCTCCGACGCAGGTGACTAAGGTTACCCGTTTCGCCAACATTCCCACCCGGGTGGGGAAAATGGGGAGGGAACGGAAAGTGATGTGCGATGAGTTTGACTCATCCCGTTTACGAAAGCCTTCAGAATAGAAAACCCGGGAACGACTATCGGGAAAGAACGATAGACTGAAGAAAAACGGAACAGAATCCGGGAAACGATCAACTCAGCATCTCGTACCTTGGTGGTGACTCGATAAGACGTGTACGCGTTGACGCCGTCGCCCTGCTTAACGGGATCCGTGACGGTTATTTCTAACGGCCCTCCGTTCGTTCCACCCCCGCCTGATCGAAAACCCGCTCCCATCGCTGCTGCTCCGCCATCCATGATAGATTCTGGTCGTATCTGAGATACGCCGTGATTGAAATCTCTTTAGATATACTACAGTATTATTGCGACAGTGACGTTCGTGGGTCGTATTTGAGAGAGCGCGAAAACGAGTCCAGAAATAAGTCAGTGTCAACGGTTCCTGTCTAGCGATTTGGCGTTCGAACAAACGTCGCCAATCTAATAGTGTCAACATTGAAGATTCCTGGGTCGCAACATTTTCTTCCCTCGGGAGCGGCCTACAGTGAGTGGTAGGCGTAGTCCCCTCACAGACCTTCACGAAACAGACGAGACGGCGAACAGCTCAGTTACGGCTGGGTAAGTGTTACGAGTGCAATTGAGTGAACTAACTAGAATTGCACTATCTAAGCAAGAGTACAATGAGCGGAGGCATGAGCGAAGAATATATAGCGAAACTACAGTGGTAACGGTAATGGACTGTGGTTGTCGCGCGACGGGCCTAGGACTGAGGTTGGGAAAAGTGTCGAAGCGGAGGCCCGGAGCGCGGGTTACCCGCTGAGCCGTGAGGTCGGGGTGTGATGTGCGAAGGTGGCGGGCGGATTGTCGATGCGAGGGTTGCGAGTGGTAACGGTGCTGACTGTGGTGCTACAGTGATGTACGCGTTGAGCAGGGATGCGAAGTAAGGAAAATGAATTTTCCTTACACTACCCCCCCCCTAAGGAGGTCCTCCTTACGAAAGTGCGTGTACATCCCTGAAATTTTGGCTGCGCAAATACTCGGTTAGGACGGGGTGGTTTTTGATTCTGTCCAGGGGAACCCAATTGTCTTCGGTGGGTGTACGGTCCTTCCAGCGGAGTAAGAACTCGATCCTTCGGGCTCTTCGAGGGTCGCGAACTCTGTGACTCAGGATTTTCTCAGGGGTGATGATTGGTTCAGTTGGTGGTCTTGTCATGCTGGCTGGGCGATTGCGTGGCAGTTGGCTCGTGGACGGGACGTAAGGGCGAAGTAGGATGACGTGGAATGAGGGGCTGACGTACCAGTCAGCAGGGAGGAGGAGGTGGGCGGTGACAAGTGTAAGCATGTGGCTTATACGAAATGGCCCGCAGTATCGGGGGTGGAGTTTCGGGGTGATGGGCAGTCGGAGGTTCTGAGTGTCAAGTAAAACTAAGTCGTTGGGCTGGTAAGTGACAGGTCAGCGGTGGCGGTCGGCATTGCGTTTAGCGATGATGTTCGATTTTTTTAATGCGTCTGCTGCCCGGGTATTGGGTGGCGGTCCGTGCCGCTTGAAATATTTCGGCGAACTGTTGTGCTCGTGGTATTGGGTTGTTGGGATTCGGGGTCATGGGTACTGTCGGGTCTTGTCCGTAGTTTGGGTAAAATAGTGACTGTTGGGTCGTGGCGGATGGCGAGTTGTTGTACGCGAATTTGATTAGTGGCAGTTGCTTTTCCCACGTGGTCGGGTCGTCACACGTGGCCCTGATGAGTTGTTCCATGGTCTGGTTTGTCCGTTCTGTTTGTCCGTCGGTTTCGGGGTGGTATGATGAACTGAACTGCAGTCGGGTGCCAAACTGCTGCCACAGGTTCCGCCAGAAGTTGCTGGTGAATTTCGTGTCACGGTCGCTGATGATCGCGGCTGGTATCCCGTGCAGTCGAACGACGGTGGAGATGAAGAGGCGTGTTGTTTCATCGGCTGTGATTGATTTTTTGCAGGCTGCGAAATGTGCCATTTTCGTCAGTGGATCGATGACGACCAAGATCGCGTCGTTCCCACTCGCCTCGGCTGATAACCTCGTGACGAAGTCCATCGTCACCTGCTGCCAAGCACGCTCTGCAGGTGGTATCGGCTGCAACTGTCCCGCCGGCCGCTGTCGTGATGATTTCATGAGCTGACAAGTGGGACACGATGCCACGTATCGTTGTACGTCGGTCAACATTTCGGGCCAAAAAGAATACCGCTGCAGCTGCTGCCGTGTTTTTTCTACTCCGCAATGGCCCGAGGTAACTCCTTCGTGTGCCTCCTGTAACAGTAATTCCCGTAGCAGTGTATACCCAGGCACCCAAATGCGGTCAGTCCCGGTTTTTACGTAATATACTCCCTTTGCTGCTGCGAACTGTTGCGAATTCCCCCCTGTGAAGAATGGATCCGTTTGGTAACCGTGGGTGAATAGGCCTGTCAGTAGCGGGCTTGTGTGGGCAACTAGTATTGCGTGGATCTGGGCAGTGTGAAGAGAACGAGGAATGAATGAACTAGCAAGCAGGTGGGTACAAGTATATGAGTTTGACACACCCCCATAGGCAAAATGGGGGATAAAAGGAGGTCACAAGACCAGTCAAGCAAAGCAAAGCAAGCTCAGGGTGGATCACAACGTCACCACACAGTCCGAGCACAAGAGCAAGGCCACAAGGCCAGTTCACATGCAAGATCATATATAAAGGTAAACAAGCAAGTGCAGGTATAGAAAGATCACAGTACAAGCAAGGTCAAGAAGTGAGCAAGTGAGGCCAAGTAGGCACAAGACCTAGCATCGTACAGAAGCGCTGATGATCACAAGGCGGAAGTGCCTTGGTAAAGATATCAGCAGTGTTGGCTTCAGAGGCCACGTAAGCAAGGCGCAGTTGACCACGCTGCTGCAGCTCACGAGGAAGGAAGTAGCGAAGAGCAATGTGCTTCGTTCTGTGCTCGAGTCGGTGCTCCCGACACAAGGCGAGCATGGCCTTGTTGTCTACGTACAGATCTGGAGGAGAACGAGGCGGCTCTCCTAGGTCAGTCAGCAGGTAGGTGAGCCAGCGTAGCTCCTGTGCAACCATGGCCCCCGCGTAGATCTCAGCCTCACAGCTAGAGCCGAGAACAGAAGACGAGCGGGTAGACTGCCACGAGACAGAGCCGGAACCAAGGCTGAAGGTGTAACCCTGCGACGACCGCTGCGTAGCCTGGTTGTAAGCCCAAGAAGCGTCTGCGTGACCTATGAGGACCACTCGACGTCGCCCTCCACGCACTAGCCCCATGCCCGACGTACTGCACAAGTAGCGCAACACCCTCTTTGCTGCAGCCATGTGCTCTGGTCGGTGTCTCCCAAGAGCAACATAGCGTGCCAAGATGCTAAGAGGGTATGCTAGGTCAGGTCGTGTGCAGGTCATCAGGTACATGAGTCAGCCAACAAGCTCTGAGTACGGGCCACTCGGCTCTACGGACTCATCCAAAGGCAGAGCTGAGAGCGAGTGGCGAGTGGCGACTAGACAGATGAGTGGCCTGAGGCGAGGAGTACGTGAAGTCAAAGCGCTGAAGGACCTGCTGCACCATGTGTGACTGAGTCAGGGTAATGGTGCGCTGTGCTCTGTCCCGGGTGATCTGCAAGCCAAGGTAGCTGCGCAGTTCACCCAAGTCTGTGCACGTGTGTCTCTTCTACAGCTCGGACTTCACGTGGGCTAGTCCAGCAGTATCAGCAGTGGCAAAGACCAAGTCGTCGACGTACACGAAGATGTAGAACGGCGGCAAAGAGGTGTCGGTGCGCAGAAACAACGACGGGTCGGCAGTAGAAGGAGCAAACCCAAGAGCCGCAAGTGTAGTCCTCAGTGTGTCGTGCCACTCACGGAGCGCCTAGCGGAGACCGTAGACTGGCCGTCGGAGGCTCCACTGGGTACCACGAGGAAACGACTCAGTGAAGCCAAGTGGGCGGCGCAGCCAGATCTCCTCGTGCAGACTGCCCTGCAGGAAAGCGGTGCTGAAGTCAAGAGAGTGAAGCTCGTAGTCGCGCTGACGGCTATGTGCAGCAGCACCCGAAGAGCGGTCATCTTCGGGGTGGGACAGAAGGTCTGAAAGTAGTCAACTCCCTGCCGCTGACTGAAGCCGCGAGCCACGTAACGCGCCTTGAAGACAGGCGGAGAACCCGGCGGCCGCTTCACCCTGAAAATCCACATGCCACTGACGATGTTCAACCCAGGTGGGGGAACCTCGTCGACGTAGGTGCCTGTAGACTTCCATGAAGCCAATGTGAGGAGTAGGGACCCTCGATCGCCTCAGCGTACGATCGAGGAGTCAGGATGTCTGGTGCATCCGGGTCTCCCTCAGGGGCAATCAGCGTGGAGACGAGATGAGGCAAAGCAGCAGCAAAACACTGGAACTCCTCCTGCCTGTCCTCAAGGACGTCCGTGCTAAGAGCACACTCACCCCCGACGGACGGAGGACAGACAGACTCAGACTCAGCAACAAGATTAGTAGCGTAGTCTAGACGACAGCGAGCAGCAAAGTCGACAAGCTGAGCAACCAAGGCAGACGCAGTAGTGGACTCAAAGGAAGGGTCAGTGTCAACAGTAGCCAGGAGACGCGTGACAGTAGGACTGGCAGCACGAAGAGAGTCAGACTCCGGGTCAGCAAGGACAGGAAGAGAGGACTCTGGAGGAGACGGCAACGGGACACGCAGAGGAGCAGTGGAAGGACGCAATGCCATCTGGTGTGTGCCTGGGACCGCAGGAGGACGCGGACGCGGAGCACGACGACTAGTGCGAGTAGCACGAACAGGCGACGCAGGACAAGACGCAGGCTCACGACGCTCAGCAAGACCTCCAGTAGGACCAGTATAGGGAGAAGGAGCAGGCAGGGGGGAGGCGGGCTGTAACTGTGACTGCGACTGGACAGGCGGTGGACACTCTAAGGGAGGAGCAGGACCAGTAGAAGGCGGGAGACCAAGAAC